GAATTCTTAACTAGGCAGGAATAAAAGTGCTATTTCGAGCCACAAACCCAATTAGAAACAAGTTTTGTTGGTTAAAGGATCCCGTTGAGCCAATCAAACAAAACAACTTAATCTAACACAACGGTGGAATGACTATCAGGCCAAACTCATGGGTCAAAATAGTTGAACGGGATCAGACCAGAGGAGCATACAAACATAGCTACATCTAGATTAGTTTACCCCAATAGTTCACCTATATCAGCACATGCAATTACACACAACCATACAGTAGGGCGAGATGAGATGATAGTTTCAAAATATAATGTCACAGGATGGAGGGATAGATTGATAACGGAAGCTTTGCTTATCGAATAATCTTCAAACACGTTTAATAGAAATGATTCAACACCTGTCCCATATATCTACAAAATTCTACTACTCCTATGAAAAATAGGAAGGAACAAAGAAAACTTTAAAATTCAAGTTTCGAAGTCATGTGGTTATAGTTGATATGATTATGAACAATGAATTGTGTTCGAAACGTAATCCAGTAAGTAATCTACTACTAATAATAATATATTCTAAATTTTTACATGAGGGACGCCTGTTTACAGGCACCATCAATATGATAAATTACATATACGATTAGCAGTCATCCTTAGTAATTGTCAATCACGTCTCAAAACCATTAAAGCTCAGCTCTTGCCACTCCGGGCCTCTCGCTGTCCCTCGAAGCATTTCAGAAACGCTTAGTAATAACGGATGAAAAAACCAAAACACCAATTGGCGACTCGAGGATTCTTTATTGTTACACCAACATATAAATATTGTTATAGCTAAGGTCTGTGAACAAATATTACAATAATAAATCACAATATTACTTCTGACGGTTTGCTACTGACTTCTTTCTGAACAGCGACCGATGAGACGATGACTGGTGTATTGATGCCTCCGCGAAAATTGGGGAAGTTGTGTTTGAGCAAACAACCGTGAATTGATCGTCCAATCTTCAACTACACTGACAGTAATAGTGTTTTAATAAAATACATATTTTTTACTGCCTGTGTTAGACACACCAAATGTACAGGCATGGATAATTTCATAAATTTGGTTTATGGTTAAACTACATGGTTGCTGACGTTTTTGTCTTTGGTTTGTGGGAACAATATGATGACTAGTCATTCAATGGACCACATCAAGAAATATAGAAATATTGTCTTCGCATTAACAAAAACTCAAGTATGTTTTAGATGGATTATAAGTACTTTGGAAAAAATAAAGCTTGATGTAATTCCCCAATATAACTTAGGTGTGTACAAAACCGAATCTTATTCTTGGTTTATATCCAAATTTGGTATTAATTAAAATATGTGATACACTTGTATAGTTTTGTCAGCATTTTCATCGTAACATCACGAGTGAATTGTACTCAATGAAGAATAATAATAACGATAGTATGTATTTTCTTATACATGGGTGTTTCCAAGAAAGGAAAGCTATTCTACTACTCCTATGAAAAATAGGAAGGAACAAAGAAAACTTTAAAATTCAAGTTTCGAAGTCATGTGGTTATAGTTGATATGATTATGAACAATGAATTGTTTTCGAAACGTAATCCAGTAAGTAATCTACTACTAATAATAATATATTCTAAATTTTTACATGAGGGACGCCTGTTTACAGGCACCATCAATATGATAAATTACATATACGATTAGCAGTCATCCTTAGTAATTGTCAATCACGTCTCAAAACCATTAAAGCTCAGCTCTTGCCACTCCGGGCCTCTCGCTGTCCCTCGAAGCATTTCAGAAACGCTTAGTAATAACGGATGAAAAAACCAAAACACCAATTGGCGACTCGAGGATTCTTTATTGTTACACCAACATATAAATATTGTTATAGCTAAGGTCTGTGAACAAATATTACAATAATAAATCACAATATTACTTCTGACGGTTTGCTACTGACTTCTTTCTGAACAGCGACCGATGAGACGATGACTGGTGTATTGATGCCTCCGCGAAAATTGGGGAAGTTGTGTTTGAGCAAACAACCGTGAATTGATCGTCCAATCTTCAACTACACTGACAGTAATAGTGTTTTAATAAAATACATATTTTTTACTGCCTGTGTTAGACACACCAAATGTACAGGCATGGATAATTTCATAAATTTGGTTTATGGTTAAACTACATGGTTGCTGACGTTTTTGTCTTTGGTTTGTGGGAACAATATGATGACTAGTCATTCAATGGACCACATCAAGAAATATAGAAATATTGTCTTCGCATTAACAAAAACTCAAGTATGTTTTAGATGGATTATAAGTACTTTGGAAAAAATAAAGCTTGATTTAATTCCCCAATATAACTTAGGTGTGTACAAAACCGAATCTTATTCTTGGTTTATATCCAAATTTGGTATTAATTAAAATATGTGATACACTTGTATAGTTTTGTCAGCATTTTCATCGTAACATCACGAGTGAATTGTACTCAATGAAGAATAATAATAACGATAGTATGTATTTTCTTATACATGGGTGTTTCCAAGAAAGGAAAGCTATTCTACTACTCCTATGAAAAATAGGAAGGAACAAAGAAAACTTTAAAATTCAAGTTTCGAAGTCATGTGGTTATAGTTGATATGATTATGAACAATGAATTGTTTTCGAAACGTAATCCAGTAAATAATACTGCTTCGCTGTGTTATATATCTAATAAATAATGTAATGTGAGGTCCTGATTTCGACATTTCGGGAAATCCTACCTGTAAAGATAGCTAAAATAGCGATTGATGGCTCATCGGTGTGTTCAGCTGGAACTCACCTGGACGACAGGGAATCTCACACAAATGTGAATAAAGTATTGCGAGAATAAATTCCAAGTCGTCTGTTATTCTTCGGTTTCCCGAACCATCTCCCAAATGACTTAGGTCGCTGAAAGTTCCAATCATTTAATGTAGAGATTTTAAGGGGAGTAAGACAGGTGGAATATTTCGTCAAGCCGCGGGAGGAAGTGAATATCTTGTAAAGCTGGAACGCAGAAAATACGTTTCCATAGTAAGATGCGAGTATCAGCCAAAATATACACCCAAATGCTACCAAAACCATTATGAGACTTCAGTTTCAGATTATTGGTGACCAATTAGATCTGTTTACCTCCAGCTGCTGAAGTATTTATTACGGCTTGCAAAACATTGCATAGCCGAATGTGGCCATCCTTAGGCATACTAACAGAAGATAACTAGAGTATCCACCGGTGTGGCATAAGATTCCATACGGTCTGACGTCTTTTCCTCTACAGTTTATCGTTCAAGTTACTCAGCTTCCAAAGACATGGCGAATGGCTACACCAGTCGGCGGTTTCAAGATAAGGCAAAAGCATTACAAAAGGCACCATTTTAGCAATCAGTAATTAAGAAAGTCGACCAGATATAGGGGGCTAGGCTGGCACTTAAGACGCGCCACTAATATACACAACTGCTTTATTCAGCGTTTGTTACCTCTGCCCTGCTCATTGTGTTCTTCTTCATCACTTCTTTTAATGTGTGCATATACTGCACCCCTTTACTTGTCTGCAAGCCAAGCATCTTGCCATACCTTCCTTTTGTCCAGTCTGCTCACGTTATCAATTCCCCATACGCCTTCTTAGTGCCGCAATCACAGGAGTGCTTACCTACCGCAGAGGAGTGCTGTTCGGAGAAATGAAGTTTGCCAGCCCCGGGAACACCGTTGCATTTGTATGGGACTGGTGAGGCTACAGATAAGCTAAGCTACGTCAACTCTGACCAGTGAAGTTTGCCTGGTGCTCAGTAAACACAGTACTCTACCTTTCTTTCAAGTACTGATGGCAAGACGCAAATCGAAGACTCCGATAATTAGTAATGTGCTCTTTTCACCAGTATATTTGGATATGATAGAAATTCAAGATAATTCTGGGAAGACGGTGAATTAACATGCAGTTCGAAAAGCCATAAGACTGACTAAAAGAGTGTAAATTTTCATTACATAAGCAGGGAGCGCAGAAATGAAGTTGGCTCCAGTGTTTGTGTGCATGCGTTGAAACAAGTGTTGAATATTAGAGTGTGCATTACACATTCCTCATAGAAGGAAATAGTGTGAATCCTCTTGATGATTTCTGCAGAGCTGAGACGATTTGCTGGATAGAAAAAACATGGTGTTTTGAACGGAAAGCTCTCCACTCAATTGCTAACGAAAACTGGTGTGCCTCAAGGCGCTGTACTCTCTCCATTACTTTTTCCTTTCTTTTTTCATGAACTTCCATATTCTTTCAAAGGTAGTTTCATTAGATATAACAATGAACCAAATATTTTTATCCTGGTAGTTTCTGCTGATGATTGTTCTTATATGAATACATTTCTGCCTGAAGTTAACTAGTGGTCTCACTCGAATGATCTTAAAATAAATCCATCTAAATGACATATGGTTGATTTTAGTTTCAGGTGATAACAGGATGTGCGTGTACTGATTAAGCCGCACGATTCTCGTGATATTGACGGCATTGTGATAGGAAGTAAATCTAATCTCTTATCTCAGTTTCTCTTTAAATCTCTATCGGTTTTCTGATTTCTCCAGAAAATTTTCGTGTGACTAATAACATAAAGTAGTTGAGACCTTCTGGCATAACTCGACCGCTTCTCTTAAAATTTGTCAATTTATACATTCTGCCTATAATCCTTTAGTGTTCGCCTCTGTTCCTCTCCGGAATTCCCAAAACAGACTACATTACTAGAACACTGAAGGCTATAACTACGTTAGCGGCATCCCAGCGATTGTCTATAGGCACTTCAGTTATTGTAGGAATTTGGCTGAAGTTGTATTGTCTGATACTGTACATCATCTTAATTCTAAAATTGTGGCATGGATATCTCCATAACTTCAAAAGAATTTACGCTCGTACAACAAAATGCATAAATTTTACCGTACCATATTTAGCACGGGTTCTGAGTGGAGTCAGATATCAGATAAGGACTTATTATTATTACACGGATTATATGTGATATTAGCAACTCCTACTTCACTATTCTTCTGCCAATATTCTGTTAACAGTTGTCTATTTATTAATATTAGTATAACTTTTTGATATTGAATGAATGTACATATTCATAAAAGATCTAAGATGTTGCAGTATGTATAAACACGATGAGAATTGTATTCTGTGCTATAGTTTTCGTAATAAAGTTTTCATTATGGGGGTCCTTCAAAGATCTAGAAATATGGAGGTATGTATATACCTTGCAAAAATATGTTGGAATAAAAGGAGGGCTTTATGAAGTGTGGCGCTACTGTGATTTCACGTGAAAAGTAAGTTTTAGTTTATATTATCGATTTCCGCTTAGTGAAATAGGCTGGATTTTATGTGAATGAAATCGAAATTTTACCTGTTTTGGTGAGCCTTATCACGCAAGGTTGTAGTGTGTTAAGTGACGGGCTTATATAGAGTAATAATATTGTAGCATGCTGAGTGTTTTTGCATTGTTTGGTCTAAGAGATTCAGAGCACTATTAATGCAAATGTCCTAGTGTCATTGTTGGGTATTCTGAATGATGACATGTTGCAACTTTCGCTTATTCTAACTTTGGACTTCTTAACTTCCAGTTTGCTGACGAAACATATTGGGATATATCCGTTGTGCTTCAGAAAGATGAGTGAGCCTTTGGATATTCTGCCTAACTTCTGCAGTGGATCCAAAATCTCCCAACTGATTAGAAGTGTTAGACTAGCGTTAATGCAGCTGCAAGTAGAGAGTCGTGTTATTAGTTTGAGATTAAGTCAAGTTAACAGCTAACAAATCGTCAGTGCACTTTTGCAAAACACAGGAAGTCCACCTCACGGAGTGACAGAATTTAGGGTAGTGGTACAAGATTATGGTCTCATCTTAGAGTATAGACACAGAAACCTTTGAATTCAGAGGTTGAATTTGTTGTTAAATGAATTTAAAAGGTCAACTCGTGATACTGAGAGGTTCAAGCAAACTATATATTTGTGAGCTGAGAGAAAGGAAGACTGAAAACAATAAGGAAGATAGTTAGAGGAGAATCTACCATGCTTCCACTTTCTCTAATATTTGTTCATCTGGGGCACCTAAGGCAGAAAAAGAATTAGTTTCACGTGACAAAATATCCTGCAGAATGTGCAGTTTAGGTTGTTATAGAGATATTTGATTTCATAGAGTGCCCTTCAGCTACAGAGAGCCGTTTGGCAAGTCCATTATTCCTAATCCGTACCTCTCAGAGTAAAATGATAACAGCTTGTTTGAATACCGTTCGGAGCAGAAGTCTAGCTGATGTTGCGCTTCTTCCCACTGTCAGTATAACTTCATACCGTAATTACAGTATCGGCATCTCTACAACAATAGGTACCTGTATCTTCTAAATTTAATCTTTTCAGTTACATCTGTCGGTTGTTCTGTATCCTCTTAAATTTATGTTTTCTTACATTGTGTTATCACTGTATGTTTGTTTCTGAGTGCATCGAGTTGGAGCGACGCATGTTTGTGTGACATGTTACATCGGTTTATCAATCCTTGCTAGGTATCTTATTATTCAACTGTTATGTCAACTAAGACATAAGAAATTGCTTATTATATAACCACCTTTTTGTACACCGTCACATTTAATCTATATCTTTTTATTTCTAGGATATTATTCAGATGAAGGACCAAGATGATAAGTCTGAAAAATCAAAGCTTAAGGTTTGTAATATATTGCCTAAAGTTTATTCTTGGCTTTTAGATACTAAAGCGTACTGATTATCTAAGTGATTTAGATGGACTTCTTGTGAACTCTAAAAATTTCAATAAAGTATGTCTTTCAATCCTATTTTATGTAACCTAGGCGTTACTGATTCTAGCTCTTCATACAAAGAACAAGTAATGAGTGGATTAAGACTCAAGTTGAAAAAATTGTTGAGAGCCGCATTCATTTGTCAAAATTTATTGAAGTTCTAACAAATTTCGTCGTATCAGAAAATCATCATCCGCATGTAGTCCAACAAGTACTAGTTTGGTTAAGTTATTTCACTGAAAATCATTCCACTTCATTGCAAACACCAGAAATTCAACAGTCACTGAGAAATTTATGTTCATATTGCTATGAAACGTGTACACTGGCAAAAATGTATGTAGAAGCTGCTAATCGTGGTAATGCTGTTGAAAATTGGTCAAATGGTCAAAAATATACCGGTTACCTTCCCCGCAGATTTTATTATACAATTCTACCAAAAACCAGTTTTGTATATATTGACGGTAAGTATTTCTGTGGACTAATATTATGCTGCACATTTAAAATGGAATATTTGTGTCATTAAATAGTTAGCTTCCTGAAAGGGGGCTAAGTTTCGGACCCTGTTGTATCTAACTGGGTTTCGGTACTCTGCTCGTATTCATTGTCTCGCAATAGACGTCCAAACGTTCTGAACATACGAGTGTGAATGCAGTAGTTGAGAAGGAATGGCTAATTTTTATGTAACTCTTATTAACCCCCCGAGGCATGTTCTTCAAAAGCCTACGAGATTTGCTTCCATCTGATCTTCATGGTATGTTAGGGAAATCTCTGACCAGTAGGCTAGTGCTTCTATGTCAGTACTACTGTTGTGCACTTAAATTCTCCGGAAAATGTGTTTGCTGCTTGCTTTCCGTGTAATTTTCTTATGTGTATCTTCCTTGGTTTAAAATTACTTATGAGTCTTCATCTACCTTCTATAGTTGGTATGACAACTAAAAAAACCTTAGGTTATACTTGTCACTGGGAAAGTATATTGATTGTGTTTTTAATTTGTGTTAAAAGTCTATGATTCAGTTTGAACTTAAATTCTAAGTTTTACAATATTATGTGTAAACATTCAAACCAAGTTCAGACGTAATGGCATGTGAACACTGGCTATATAGTGTTTACTGTTCTGCGACGTATGGCTCAATAATTAGTGTACTTCACTTCCTACGATTGAAATTATGTGTTACAATATGCATCAGCCTTAAAGTAGCTTTTTGTTATTGGAAATCAATCAGATATGACAAGCATCACCAGTTTATTTTTTAAATATAGTAATTACATTTGGAGATATTACCAATTGTATTGAATTCGGTGTTTACTAAACCTACCTCCAAATGAATGAGAATATATTTTTCCCTACAGATTTCTTCTTAACGCGGAACTTTTAATTTTAACTCACTATTATTGAAGAAAATTTAAAGTGTAAGCCATGATAAGGCGGACGGTTATCAGAGTTATTATACTTGCAATTTACTATTTTTTCTTCTTAGTATCCCCAGGGCGTATATTCCCTTTGGTCTTGCTAAGCTCATGTTTCTGATTAGAAGATATAACCATAGTGGTGTGTAATTTTACTGCTCCAATAAAGAGGCAAAATCATATCTTTAGATACCTAGTCAATGCGTCGGTGCATCAGCAGTAGCGTAGTCGCCAACCAAGCAGATGCTCTAGGGGTTGAATTTTGGCCAGTGTACTCCTAAATCTCGTTTATCCGTAATAAGCCCGGTGGTAAAGAAAGACGGTTAGCTGTGGGGCTAGCAACACTAACCTGTAAAAAACCGACTGCTACTAAAACTCCAAAGGTGGAACTTGAAACGTATTGTTCTACTTGAAACTCAAAGGAAAACAGGATACCTAGTTGATATCTATACGATCATATTACAAAAAAAGTTATTTGTGTTAAACACGCAGAATTATGTAATGGTATTCATCTCTTATTTGACGTCAACTCTAAGTAGTTGTATATGGTGTTGTGAAAACTACGACTAACTCAGTTTAATAATTTTCAATAAAAATTTGAAGGGACACTGGATTCTTTTTAACTCTATTATTACTCAGAGATTCTGTATTCTATACTCTTAGTGTAGTAGCAGGAAGACTGGGAATCAGTTCAAACAAGTTACTCAGATGTGTTTGGAAAAGCTTTAAAAGGTAGCACATTGCGAAAACTGAACGGGAGACGTAAGACCTAACCAAGTGCAAGTAAATATCATTCTTCATTATATTCTCACTCTAATCAAGCATTGCAAAGTAGTTTCTACACCTTAATAACTACGAGTTAGGTTACAATCGAGTTGGCTAAATGACAGATACATCCACTGCTTGACTGATTAGCTGATTAATCTGAAGTGGAATTCCTCACAGTTTTGCACTAGTTCAAGTTGCTACTGACATAAAAGAGACGCTTGTCTGTTAAAAGGGATAATTTCGTATAAAATAGGGGCATATGTGTAGAATTCCGTATGTGGAGGGTGAATATGTCTGTGTCACTGTAGCAGTCTTAGATACATCCACAAATATTCTTCAGTCATTGATCATTCATATCCTGGTGACCTCAGCTGAGAAAATTACACATATATGTGGCTGAGATCAACAGTTAGAAACTTCATGAACTGTTGCCGTGTTCCTGCCTGGAAGCTTTGCTTACCTACAAACTACAATTCATCCTTATGTGTCAGTTCCTGGAGGTTATTCTAATGCATGAATTGAATTTAAAATTCGTGTTTTTGGCAGTGATCAGAGACTTATCGTGTCCTGCCGTGTAGTACTATAAGCAAAAATCCTACCACATCGATATCTGGACTATGATAAAACTAAGAAAGACATGGAAGAATCATACTTCGATAATAAACAGGGATGAAACATATGATATCTGTTGAAAACAGTTAACATGTTCGGTTATTTCACTCTATCCTTGAACACAGTGTTCATACGTACCAGTGCGTTGATATAATCTTGTATTTTTACGTGTGAACATATGTTTCATATATACTCTGGGTTTTGTTCAGGGTGTTTAGAAAATTGCATCTATGACTAAATGTTTACAAATCAGATGTAAGATAATAATCGATGCAGATCTCAGATATTAGTTAAGGTTTTAATCATATGCTTGGTATAGACAACAAGTTAAAAACGTGCTACATTAAAATTAGATAAAGTAAGTCTCGAAATTTAGCAGTTGAACCAGTTATCGTTGATGTAAATATACACTAAGTACTGTACATTTATAATTGATTGTCGTTGTTGTGTTTCATCAGACTAGTTAATCATATCCCCTCCTCTTACTTCAGATGAAAATATTGTTAAAAAACGAAAAGTTCTACCAGCCAAACGCAACTCAATTGATATTAAAGATGATTTCACTATCCCAGATAATGACGATAACGATGAGCTAATGGATTTAGATTCAGTGTCTTCTATGATAGAAAATGAATCAGAATATGAACAAGAATCCTTGTATGAATCACTTGGAGAGTCTGATGGTGGTGTATTTGATGTAAATGAACCATTGTCATCTGATGCTGAACACCACCACCACCACCACCACCAACAACAACAAAGGCGATTTCCCTTTGTCCCAGAGGATGAATGGGGGGAGCAGGATCAAGCCGATCTATTTGAAGCTGAAAGTGATTCAGATGATTTTCAGTATCCTGATGTTGATAATGATTGTCCTGATAATATTTCTGTGTCAAGTACAGTAAGTTCCGTTCCTTTGTTTCTTAATTTTGACACTTTACTAGGATTGTGTATTGAGGAAATAAGCCAGTAGAAAAAGAAATAAAATTTCCAATCACACCTTTACCTAGAAGTTTACTGCATTAGCAGAAGTTAGAATTCATGGGCCAATTCATGGATCGGGTCGCAGTGACTTAATGGTCTACGAGCTCGCCTTGTAACGCAAAGGTCCCGGGTTCGAACCCCGGTGGGTGCGTACTGCTGAAGATATAATGTTTGGGTTTTGTCAGATTGATAAGTTGACAAGCTAAGTACTGAATAAACAGTGATGCGATTAACCAATCGCGTGTTGGATAGCATACTGTGAAAGAACCAAGAAGTGTTGCTGTCGAGAGACTCACTCTCCTGTATGCTGGTGGTTGGACTCACCACCAAAAGAAAAAGCTTCATTCAGCTATCCTAAACTGTAAGTGCATCTCATTAATAGACAATAATAGTTCTACTCTAAGTTCATTGACTTAGATGTATTGAAGTCACGACGAAACGCGATAAAACATCATTATTAATAACTTCCTTCTGTTATAACCGAAATCATTGTTCATTCATTCATTGAGACATTCACTTTTGCTGCAATTTATTCATGGATTTACTTCCAAATGTATATATTTGAGCTTGTGATGTTCACCATGTTTCCAAACCTATGGACTCAAAAATTCCGAAGAAACAATTGGCAAATGAATTTGTTTTAGTTACCGCGATGAATGAGAATACAGCTTGCAACGGTGATGAGTTGCACTATAGAAATTGTTCTATTCATTTTTAGTAAATATCGGATGACTGTGTATGTGTGTGCATGTGGCGCATTATTTTGGTTCCCATACGAAACTTGTGGTATTTTTTAATAAATGCAATACCCCATATTGGCCCACAAATATGGAAAAGGAAAATAATACATCATAAAAATGTATATTAGTCAACCAAACAACCTTTTTTAGACGACGAAAGCGTACGATATACTAGCGACCCCTTCCTTGAGAAACCTGAACTAAGGATTGTAGAAATGTTACTGTATTTAGCGTTTGTTTATTTAAAAGGAGAACCTCTTTGTATCTGTCATTAACTAAGACTCTTGTTGTCAACTTCAGTCTTATCCACAATTATGCAAATTTGCATCTGGTTCCTGTAGTACAACCGTTTCCAATGTTTGCTGTATCGTTCTCAAGTTATTACTTAGTTGTAGGTGAGAAACATTCGAAGGTATGTTTTACAACAGTGCTAACTTTGTTGGGAGTTTACGGTGAGAAATTCTCATTTCACTACCAACTAAAATTTCATGCATAATCTGATCTTATCAGGTTATCATAGAACCTTCAGTTTAATCTCTCGGATCTCTGTGGACTCGTGAACCAACCTTTAGATTTACCTTGCTTGTTTTGGAAATACCGATTTATGTTACAAACTGAGTGAGATTGCATTTCAGTCGACCGACTTCGGTTATATCAGTCAAGCACCATATGATTTACGTCGTGCCGGTTAATATACTAAAAGTACGCATGTACTTGGCATTTGGCAGGTCCAAACAATCACATGGGGGTAACAGCAGTGTTCAGTACATTTTGTATGGAACATACAACCTTGATGGTTGCACGGCTGTTCTATCATACGTCAGGTTATCGATTTAAACTCTGCCTTACTCGTAGATTTGATTCAGCTTTTGTTTTCTCTTGAGATGATACTTATCGAAAAAGAAGCAATATGGAAGAGGCGTCATGTATTATTGATTTTTAAAAGTTATATGTCAAATTCCGCGCCTAATATTTGTCGAATTGTTAACTCGTTTTTTCAACTTCAAATAGTTTGACTGTCATTTGTTTGAATTTTCAGGCATCCTCCACATCTTCAAAACAATCACTTAGCCTCTTTCCAGATGTTAATGTCAACGTAGAGTGTACTTCAGCTCGTCAAGATGATTCCACTGGTGAGAAGGAAGGAAAAGAGGACCCCAGTGAGTCGATGATGAGTAGTGACAGTGAGTCAACAAATGAGAATTCAAAAACAAAGAATAAATCTAAGAAAAAACCACTGCGTAAATCTAACAAATTAGAATCAGTCTCAAATGAATCGCCTGACAATCGTCGAAAAAGTCTTAGATCAAGTCGCAAAAAAACTACACCTAAAAAGTGAAACGTCACTTATATATAAATAGAACAATACTGTAATTATATTGTATGTATATAACAAACCAAGTTTAATATATTCATATCTTTTATCACTCTGTTGGTGAATCGAAACAAATAATATCATATAGTTCATTGTAGATATGTATCTTAGTTTCCACTTCCATGGGACTACAATGTATAGCATTGATTTAGTCGTTTCATTTATGTGTTGTTAATGTGTTCTGCATAGAAGAGTAGGCGTCTTCCGATGCTTTACTCGGTTTCCGTTGTAGTGCATATATGAAGGTGTGTTACAGTAATGTCATATTTCCATTGCTTTATAGAAAAAAGCAAATTTGATATACCTCTTGGCAGAGGAAGAAAGCGACCACTTTCTCCTCATATAGTGTTTGTGATAATTGTTGCAGTTGTAATTTCGTGTTTAATTTGTATGTATAATTGCTGTTGCCTTTCATTGCATATAGTGTAATATAAGATAGACGAAATGATAGCCTTATATGGGTTGCTGTTTTACTAGAGGCTTTGTAAGGCTTTAAGTTTTTTTCGACAAAAAACAGGACGATTTCTGAAATTAATCGTATAATTTGCTATTTCTTTGACATGTTTTAAAAAAAGTAATAAAGACATGGGAAAATCGTCATCCATAAATAAACGCAGTCATATCACTTCACGGTAAATTGTGTGACATACTACGTTACATTCTCACTGTTCTCAATAAGTCTTTGACTTTTATATTTGTTACTTTACTTTAAAATATCAAATAAAAGTGTCGAATAAATTCAGCCAATTTGTGAACCTCAATCATGTGACTGAGGGGAAAACAACTTTCATTTGTTTACGAGCATGTATTATTAAAAATACTCGGCAGTTGAATAATTGTCGTTACAAATAATGTGAGTTTGTTCCTTTCAATGGACCACTCTTTAAGCTCGCCATGAAGACATCTGCTAGGAGAGATCCTAGTGAAGACACCATCCTTTTCGATTTCAAATGACATCGTTAAATCTAAACAGCACATTAAGTGTGCATCTCAATAAAAGCTGCTTCAGATGGTTGGTTGGCACTCCAATGTTTACGCATTTTACGCCGATGTAACCACATGCACCGTTAGTAGAAACTATTTGTTATCTGTGTGACTTATGTCCTACATGTGAGGAAGAAAGTCACAACCAGCTTGCATTTTTAGATATAATTTTGAGTCGAAGAGGCGATGGTTCAATAACACGATCAATTTACAGAAAGCCTACTTGTATAGAACAATACTTAAATTTTCACAGCTTCTGTTCACTACAGTATTAATAGAGGCTTGGTGAAATGCTTGTTCAAGAGGATTCAGCGTATTTGTACTGCTGATGTTGTAGAGAATTAAACTGAAGTACTGATATCCTTTTAAATTTTTGCACAGATGTGGATATACACAGTGGATATCCAAGCGTGATGGAGATGAGATCATGTGAAGAGTAAAAATGTAAGCTTGTCAACAATAGTTGAGCCAGCTGAAAATACCGACAGAGTACAGTGGAGATGTGCTGCGTGGGACGATTAACAATAGTACTCATAAGAGAAAACATAATACCACTTAGAATCACCATCACTAATGGCATGAAAATGAATCCACCGAAATTATTCGCCCAATTCTATAGCTTTTTCTATTTTACCACATCGTTTCATAAGGACCAACATATCTACCTGAATAGCATAGATGAATTAACTATGTGGAAGTGAATTTCACTATTTCAAACATCTATCCGACTTTCAGTCAACTAATATCGAGGCGGTAGCGGCGGCGGGTGAACTCCATTCACAACTTCGCTGTCTGCATAAAACTTGGGCTACCAAAAATTTTCATTTCTCTATTGCATATACTTTCTCTCGTTCAGTTTGTTTTGTTCGATTGAGATATGACCTCTATTGGTATTATCTACTCTTGTATGTATTTAAAATATTTACAAGCTTCTGTTTCGAAAGTTCCTACTTCATTTAAGGAAAGGCCTGATTGTGGGTGGCAGAGAATTCCCAATACATGAGGTAATCGTTCTTCAGTTAAGTCCTTGGTTTTCAAAGTATAATTCTGAACATCTTATAATTGGCTTTCAACTAGATATCGTGGATTTCTTGAGGGAGACAAAGCAGGTATATCACATAATGGAATGGTTTGTGCTTCAAATCGGAGATTATTGTGTCACAGGAAGGATATACTGCCAATTAATGACTTTACTTGATATTGTACGAAGGGGAAAATATCATGCAATTAACTCCTCTGAAAATTCTGTACATTTTATAAATACTGTCCAGAATAAAGATGTTACTATTGTTATTATTCCACTGATTTTGTTCTGACTAAATAGACTAGTATGACAACTGAACACACAGACTTAACTTTATACCAATGGACTTAACCATATACTGAAAGGAAGACGAAAACAACTGACATAAAATAATACAAAAATACTTTCCTTGTATTACACTACAAAAAGATACATCAAATAAGAAAATAGAATCTTCATTGTTGTTTGTATAAAAGAATACAAAATTTTATCAAGAGTTGTAGTTTCAATGCATGTAGAAAATTAAGTAGCGTTTATTAAAATAAACAGATATACCACTACTTAATCTGTATCAGCTTTTTACGTTAAACGGGATAAATCACGTCGTCTAAGTAATTTTCGACACACAGGACACTGACGATCACCCTGAAATTTACAAATTTTTTTGAAAAGGAAAAGACTTCAGTGAGAGAATGTAGTGGTGATTAAATATGAAAAAAACAATAACATACAAACAAAAAAAACTTAAGTCAGTTAAAGTGAGATATAAAGTGATACATTAAAGCCGGTTGTGAACATGATCATTTCCCTGACGAAGGAGATTAGAGGAGTTTATTGAACGGAAGGAAGGATGAAAATACTTATTTCGACTTCTCTGAAACTTCTACAGATATACTATGCATTGTTAACACATGGGTTATAAGTGAGTTACGACGGCAAGATTATCGCCATTTCTTATAACTTGCGTCAAATTATCCTGCCTGCCAAAGTAGTGCTTGCCTATTGTATTATCATTTAATGTATAATACCTTGAATAGACTCACTTTCGTGCAAAAGTATACTAAACTGACATATCTCTTTGTCTCTCTGCTCATACGGTAGAAATCAGGATTCCTTGTTGACTTCGGGAGTCAATTATTTGCAAAATACAAAACACTACCACACCTCTTGGTATTACCACCTTAAATCACATTACTATGATTTATTTATTCCTTTACGTTCCCATGTGATAATCATAAGGGGATAAGCCTAACGAACATAGTTTCTAAAATCCTAGGCTTAGTAATCATGCACAGACTAAGCAGAACTCGGGAGGAACAAACGAGGGAAAATCAAGCAGGCTTTAGACCAGGTAGAGGGTGCATAGATCATATCTTCACTCTCCGACAGATCCTAGAACATAGACACACTTTTCGGCGTCCAACAATTGCCATATTTCTTGGCTTGAAGGCGGCCTTCGACTCCGTGGATAGAAAAATACTACGGCAATGTTTGACTGTGAAGGGAGTGCCAAGAAAGTACATTGCACTAATCAAGGCACTCTATTCAAACTCATGTAGCCGTGTAAGGGCTTATGGGGAATTGTCATCTGAATTGATAACAACCAGTGGTGTCCAACAGGGATGTCCACTTTCCCCATTTCTGTTTAACTTCATCATAGATATGCTAATGGAAGTATCCTTAACTGAACTTAACGACTTAGGAATCGACTTGCTACCAGGGAATGGTCTTATGAACTTAGAATATGCAGATGACATAGTCCTGTTAGGGGAGGATGCTGACAAAATGCAGAGTCTTCTGAACACCTTGAGCAGCAATCTTCGTATGTTTGGCATGCGATTCGCCCCTGTAAAATGTAAGATGTTGCTACAGGACTAGACTACGTCAACTCCTAGCTTAGTGATAGAGAGTGAAGTGATAGAACATGTTGACCACTTCACTTATTTGGGAAGTTGTATTAGCACCAACGGACTGATTGGCGACGAAATCTCAGCACGGATCCAAAAGGCTCGAGCTGCTTTCGCTGACTTACACCACCTCTGACATCCGGCTATCAACCAAGGGACGTGTGTACTGCTCATCAGTTCTCTATGGCTCTGAAACATGGCCAATACGAGTTGAAGACATGAAAAGGCTGGCTGTTTTTGATCATAGATGTCTACGATCTCTTTCTCACGTTAGATGGTATAATAAGGTAAGTAATGATGATATTAGGCGTAGAGTGTTGGGCAAAGAGGGAAAATCAATCGACGAGGCTATAAAGTGACATAGATTGAGATGGCTAGGTCACGTGCTGTGCATGCCTAACCACCGCCTCCCCCGACGACGGGCATTACTAGCTGATATAGGTGCAGGTTGGAAAAGAGTAAGTGGTGGCCAAACAAAAACATGGTGTCAATCCATGAAATCCTTGACAGTTAAACTGAGTCAGGTAGGGAGATGCAGACTTCCGGGTTGGGGCCCTCGGGACTCTAAGAATCAATGGCTGGAGACAATAAGTGACATGGCTCAAAATCGTTGTCAATGGCGCAGATGTATTCGGTCTCTGTAATCTTTCATACTTCTTTCTACAATTACCCATTCTGTTTCACTCTTATACTTGTCAAACTCTATTGATTCTCTTCACTCACCTTCTTGTCTACCTTTGTGTGCTATTTGGAACGTGGCAACTCGAACTAGTGCACTTCGGTGCCAAGTTCTATGGTGAATCCAGACAGAGAGAGAACACGCTAAGTGTTGCGTATAAAGTAGATGTTTCGGATAATTCAGTTTGAAAAAGAACAGTCATAGGAATTTGACTAGAGTGGCAGGTTAATAGACAAACCACAAGATATTTCAAAAACCCAACACACTGCCTAATGATGTGGTTAAAAACCTATGTCGACCTGCCGATTTACTCTCCAGGAGATACACTGCAAGCAGGTTTATGAATACATGCCTACCATGATATGAGATTTTAAAACTGTCATTCTATCCCATTCTATTGTATGGTTGTGTGTAATTGCATGTAGTGCTATAGCAGATTTCGTATCTTATTCGGGTCGACTAATCTAGACTTTGTTAGGCTTTTATGCTCGGCTAGTCTGAATGACTGCAACTGTTCTACTAGTTTAACCTATGTATTTGACCTGACAATCATTGCAGACAGGGTATTAGATAAACTTAATTGTTTTGTTTTAAAGGCTCCACTGTTAGGATCCTTTAACCGACAAAGCTTGTTTCTAATTGAGTTTGTGGTTGGTTTGAATGCCAGCCACTTTTATTCCTGCCTTGTTAAGAATTCTGCGTAAGCTGGTTTCCGAGGTTCCTTCCTTGTATGGAATTACTACTGATGATTTAGATTCCTTATTGTTGGTGTTATCTTGCGCATATATGACATGCATGTCATGGGAGTCATCAGTAGTAATTCCATACAAGGAATGAACCTCTGAGGGAGAGATTGATAACAGAAGCTTTGTTTATCGAATCAATTGCAAATACATGATTCAACACCTGTCCCAGATATCTGTAAAATTCGACTACCCCTACAACAAATAGGAGAGGACAAAGAAAACTATAAAACTCAAGTTTCAAAGTCGTGTGATTACAATTGATATGATTATGAACAATAAATTTTGTTCGAAACATTGTCATCCAGTAAATAATACTGTTTCACTGTGTGATAAATGTAATAAACAAACTAATATGGAATTACTTACTACCACAGTGTCCAAGTTTTACACATATATCAATGTGAATAGACTCACCTTCATGCAAAAGTATGCTAAACTGATATGTCTCTTTGTCTGTCTGCTCTTACGGTAGAAATTAGGATTCTTTGTTATATTCGACAGTTATTATTGAAATATGCAAAACACTACCACACCTTTTGGTATTATCACCTTAAAACAGAATCACATGATTATTATGGTTTATTTATTCCTTTACGTTCCCAGTGGAGGATAGGGCTTCAAGGTAAAGGTTTGAAGTTTCCATAGAAGTGATGTTTATTTTCACGGGATGGGGTTGCTAGCCTCATGCCCAACATTCCCTCTTTACCGGTCTTATGACCGGCTTAGCGAGGTGAAGGAGTGCCTTGTCGGTCGGGGATCGAACCCTGGACCGCATACGTGGTTGGGTAGCATCCCAGCGCTGCGCCACAGACACACTGGTGGCAACATATAAACGTATAAGTAACAACAAGTAGAAAAACTTCACGATGCCTGGGAATTCTAATCCAACACTTGTGGACTTCTGTTAACAATTGTCAAAGCATGAACCTTACATATAGGCGCTAATTAAAACATTTTGAAGACAAAAAAACAGAGAAAAATTACTCACTTCTTCAATGATATGTCGCCAACACTTGAAACAAGCTATGTGTTTACAACATGATATCAATGGAACTTGTGCTGGATTAGCTGAGCATTTACAGCATTTCATTAATTGTCCAAGTGATTTTTCCGTAGGTTTCGGTGATTGTTTTAAATTGGCCGCTGAGTTGTCAGACACTGATTTTAAATTTATAAGAAAAGAGACGAACCGAAACAAAAATCAGTTTAACGAGTACATTCTTGTATTTATGCATTAATATATTATTTAAAGTCTCCGAATTAACAGATATATGGGTGTTTTAATCGTAGAAATGTTTGCCAAACCACACAAGAGATCAGGGTTCGACTCCTAACCCATATACTCTCGAACCTCAACTGTTCAGCAGTAAGCCTCGAAAAGTTGGGAGGTTGAGCGTCATGCCAGTAATCTCACGTGTAAAAAACACTACCCCTTTTTGAAACTAGAAGACTTGAAGCCCTAGGTTCCACTTGGAACCGAAGGAAGGAGAAAAACAACATAATTTATTATAAAAAGATGTAGAAAGACAGGCGAAAACACGGTGAGCTCAGAAAACGCATCTCCTAGAGATTTAACTGCAATGGTTGTGAAAGAATTTTAAGCACAACATCAACAAATACATGAGTCGTAGATTTAAAAAATTTTTTTTTTATTACAGCTTGATTCCACACTGTATTTTTGGTACAAGTATGGAATTTTCAGCATGGATATCGGTAGATAGATATCGGATAGTGAAAAAATTCTAAAGTTATAGTCACATGAATAATATGGAGTTACAAGTTTCAGCGAACTCTTGCAGCAAAATAGTCAAATACCTACTGCCGTGTAAATGGAAATTGATTGGTCATACAATGAGGAAACTTTCAAGTGACATACGACAGTTATTATTATTATTACTTAAACGCATAAAAAAAACTTGGTACAATATGGCACCAAGAAAGATGCGCCACACAATAATAATAAAACAACATAGATCAAAAAAAAGGAAGGAAGGAAAAGAAAAAATATATATAAGTAGAGAACGGATAAAGAACTTCATCTGGAAGGAAAACAGTCATGCTTAACAAGTTCAAACAGTGTTCGTTAGCTATCATCGGGAAGGGAAGAAAGAAGGAAATCGCAACACATTCGCCACTGATTACGATTCTTGGCCATATCCGATAACGTTTCGAGCCATCGATTTGAGCTATCTCTCGGACCCCAACCAGGGAGTCGTGACACACCAACCGATGCTAATCTAGCACAAAAATCCTTCATCCCACGACGCCACGTCATGGACTGACCACCTCTCCGCCTTTTCCATCCCGTCCCAGGGCTAGCGAACAGAGACCTGTACGGAAGCCTCTGGGGTGACATTCGGAGCACATGTCCAAGCCACCGGAGCCGGTGTTTCCAGATGACGACATTCAAGGAATAGTGATCTCCACTTTGTTCAAACACACGCCGCCGAACCTCAGAATTACTCACGCGATGATGCCATCGAACGCAAGCAATCCTGCGGAGACAGCGGTGATCGAACACGCAGAGTCGCCGCACATCCTCAGCTCGGAGAGGCCAGGTTTCACAGGCGTAGAGCAGCGCAGCCCGCACCGAAGCATTGTATACCCGACCTTTGACAGCCAGGCTAACGTCGCGACGGCGCCAGAGGTGGCTCAAGTTGATGTATGCCACCCTAGCCTTCATTATACGGTTGGAAATCTCATCCGTCACCCCTCCGCCAGCACTCACACAACTACCCAGGTACACAAACTTATCAACAACTTCAAGCGGTTCACCCGCAAGAGTGAGTGCAGGTACAGGCTCCTGCCAATCTTGTAACAGTACTTTGCACTTAGACGGCGCAAAGCACATACCATACTTACAGACACTGATCGCCAACTGATTAAGTGCGATTTGGGCAGCCTGCATGCTATCGCACAGTAAGACGATATCGTCTGCATACTCGAGGTCGAAAAGTCTATCTCCAGGTAGCAGATCTACACCACCTTCACGCACATCCTTCAGAGCTGACTCCAGAATGTCATCGATGGCAAAGTTAAAGAGAAATGGAGAGATTGGGCAACCCTGTCTAACCCCACTGTTGGTTGGGAACAGTGGTGATAGTTGGTTGTATGCCCTCACTCTACCTGAGGTGTTTCTGTATAGGGCTTTCAGGATGTTAACAAATTTCTCAGGTACACCTCTCTCTAACAGACAGTTCCAGAGCACAGTTCTGTCCAACGAATCGAAGGCAGCCCTAATATCAAGAAACACAACGATCGTTGGCCTGCAATACGTGTGGCGGTGTTCCAACAACTGACGAAGGGTGAACACATGATCAATGCATCCACGACCTGAACGAAACCCAGCCTGCTCTTCGCGAATCAATCCTTCACGTATTTTGCACAGTCTGCGAAGCAAGACAGCAGCCAATATTTTAGACGCGACTGGTAACAGACTGATACCCCTATGATTGTCACACGAATTACGTCGACCCTTTTTAAAGATGGGGACGATAATGGCTTCGTTCCACATTGATGGTACACTCTCTGTCTCCCACACCTTCCTGAACAACCCAGTTAGAGCCATTGTGAGAGTCTCGCCACCATCTTTAAAAAGAGCCGGGGGTAATTTGTCTGGGCCGGGCGCCTTATGGCGTTTCAGAACTTGGAGTTCCTTACGGACCTCCGCTTCGGTGGGTGGGTCGGTACTAACCGACCAAGGAGCACTCGGGCTAATGATAGTAGACACTGAAGCTGGTGGCCAGCTGAACTGCTTCCCGAAGTGCTCTGCCCAGCGTTCCAGGCGTCTTTTCAGGCTGGTAATTGGAGTGCCATCTGCCTCACAGACCGTCTCGCTGACACCTTGTTTCTTGCTGCCGGTGGCTCGTATGAGTTGGAACAGCTTCCGACTGTTGCCAGATGCAGCAGCTGACTCCATCTCACACGCACGTTCTGACCACCAGGCTTCGCGGTCCTTACGTAAACACTGTCTAATCTTGCGCGTGAGCGCCTTTCGCTGATTGTTGTATTCGCTGCCAGCCGGAATGGACCGGCGTTCATCCATGAGTTGCAAGGAACTCGCAGAAACCCAGTGGTTGTTAGCGGAGCATTCTTTCAAGCCGCAAGCGGCTACACTCGCCTTTTGCATGGCACCTTGCACATGAAGCCAATGTTCATCTATACTACTTGGGGGGTTGCTGGCAAGCATTGTTTTTAACTCATTCTGATATTTCAAAGAAGTAGCAGGTGCTACTAGTTTGCTCACATCAACGCTTAGACGACGGCTTTTACGAACCCCACCAAATCGCAAGACGAACTTGGCACACACTAACGCATGATCGGAGTCCAGGCATGTGCTCCAGAAGGAGCGACAGTCTTGTATGCATCCCCGCCACCGGAAACTGACCGCGATATGATCAATCTGAGTCCAAGCTTGCTTCGCAGAGGGAGGACGCCAGGTAGCGCTACGGCGATGGCTGTGCCGGAAGTTGGTGCTAGCTAGAAATAGGTTGTGATCCGCGCAAAGCTGCAGAAGACGGTCCCCATTATCTGACCTGCGACCATGTAGTCCCCACTGACCACCTAGACGATTCTCCTCTGAGCTTAGACGCCCCACCTGTGCATTCAAGTCCCCAGCCAGCACTACGATATCCCTCCGACCCGCCTGTTTCAAGAGATCGCTCAGTTGGTAGTAAAACTCATCCTTCATTGCATCCGGGCTGCAATCCGTCGGTGCATAGGCAGAGACAACAAATAGACACCGCCTATCTGGCCTACTACTCCTTACTTTCGTATAACCTTCCAGCCTCACAGCACATAAACGACTGTTAATGGGAATCCAGTCGAGCAGTGCAGCTTCGGCTCTAGCGCTCAGTGCGACACCGACACCAGCTACGCCGGATGCCGACGCCACAGGGTCCCCGGATAAGCGCAGGTGGTACATACTACTAGAACTTCCAGATGGAGAGGATAGTCGAAGCACTTCACTGGGATCTTGAATGCGGGTCTCCGAAATGCAGCAGACATCGATAGCGAGGCTTTCCAAAGTTCTTGCCAACCCTGCCTGTTGTCCGATTTGCATCAGCGTCCGAACATTGTAGGTAGCCAGCTTGAACGCAGCACGCGGTTTCAGGATATCCGTGTTAGATGTCACATTGGGAACAACCATTTTGAGGACTACTCACTAACATCTCGAAACGACACGGATAGGCTGGGAATCTCGACAAAGGCGAAAGGCTGTCGAAGGTTAAGAAGCCAAGGTTAGAAAAGGTACAATACAGGAAACTATGTATAAAAATAAAAGTAGGGTAAGAAGGAAATAAGTTCCTTGAGGGATCAATATTGCTTGGAATCATTTTAACTAGCGCGTTGAGTTTCAATGGGAGTTCGTTGCTTTAATTCATTCATTGTGTGCGGGCTGAGATACTGCCCGGGCGCCCAGACCGAAGCAGGTGGCTTTATTAAGGGACCACCCCCGAGCCTTTGACTTGGAGTCTAATCCGCAAGGCAGCGGAGCAGCGTCAGGAGCTGCATTCCCATGGTTGCCGGTGACCCATGTGGGTTCATACGCCATTTGATCCGATTGGAAACTGGAGCCCATGTACCCCATGGTAACTGCTTTTAGTTTAACCGCTATCCAGAAAACCTTCCTGACATGGTAGGACCTGTGGAGACAGGGTCCCAGTCAGTTCAGCTTGTTGGGTCATTGCGGTATTCAAGCCCGACCACCACGACAAGGTAGCAGTTATCGGCCGGGACATACGACAGTTCCTCCAGTAGAATCCCAATAGGAAGCAAAAGGTTGAGTGTTTGGGGTTTACAAGGGGATGTCTGTCTGTTTTCGACATAGGACTTTGCACAAATGTGCGGCAGTTCAAGTCGCCACACTCCATGTAGCACACAAACCAAGAGAAGAAAGTACAAGAAAAGCATAATAGAGACAATAAGCAGAGGTGTGAGAAAAAGGAGGAGTAATAACGAAGAACAAAACAGTTTCATTGGAAATCATAAGTCACAAGGAGTGGATGCATCTGCGCCAGCCGGCCATTGAGAACGATTTTGAGCCATGTCCCGAGGACCCCAACCTGGAAGTCTACACCTTCCTACGTGGCTTAAACTAACTGTTGTAGATTTCATTGACTGGGGATGATGAGGAGAGGAAAAGAAAATTAGTGGGCTGTCGGGGTGCCGAGTAAGAGATGAGAGAAGACCAACCGGGATATATATACTACTGATAAATATTAATAGTAGCACACGCCACAGTATGACCTACAAGATCAAAACATACATTGAAGTATAACCACAGGTTGACTGATTTCAGAAACATCAACTATTTGTTTTGAGTTCATTGGCGTTCACTGTAATCTGTTCTCCTAACTGAAGATTAAATTATTACTGGAGAAATGAACGGGAAAGAATTGAAATTTCAAGTGAAACAGACAACCTAATTTCAATAGACACAGTACTATTCCTGCACTTACCATTCTTCAAGTCTCGTCGAACAATAGGCAGACCAGTTAAATTGTGGCATAATTCAGCATAACGTTTACGATGTTCCGGTAGGAGGAAACAGATGGCATCTAAGGGGAAAAAGTAGAACATAACACAGAGAATCTGAATGAAAACTAGTACTGACCAAAATGTTTGTGAAAAAAGTAGTGTTCTGATTTTATCAGTACTTTGTATTACACTTTGATAATCCACCACATTCAACGGGACAAGCGTGTGACTCCTAGGCTACTTAAATCAAACTACATGAGACGATAAATTGAGTCACACTGCTTATATTGTATGGGTGGCTTAGTATTAAAACGCTCATTACAGTGAAAGCTGATTGTATCTCTCTCTCTCTCTCTCTCTCTCTCTCTCTCTCTCTATATATATATATATATATATATATATATATATATGGCTAATTTATGTATACCTTATCTTCAACGCACCATTTGCACAGATCTTTGTGTTGTCGTACTTCTGGACTTTATGTTGTGTTTCTCTGTGTTCCCTTTTACTTCACAACGCTTAATTATTGGCCTTCCCTGAATACAAATGTCTCCCTACCATTTGCTGTTTTTATACCGATTTTTATATACTACTGATAAATCTTGTCAGCAGCGCTGGCCACAATATGACTATCATTCTTATGATGCCTTTCGCCCAGTTCCATAAATTCCTTGAATTTTTAACTAAAGGTTGAAAGAGAACTTGTAAAACTGCTGCTACAATCATTGATAGTATACGATCACTAAATATAACAGTTCAAGATCAATACTTATTGTTGATTAATTTCACTTGTCTCGTTTAAAACAATTAAACCAGCTTGACAAAAGGATACATTTTCAATCATGTGGCAATATCTACACGAAGTAATGTTCTACCGCTAGATTTTGACTTAAAAACTGTAAAGTAGAAATAGTATCTACATGTAGGTACCTATAAATAGAATTTCATGTGGGTAGACTCCTAAATCCTAATTGTAGTGGACTGGATTATGCGTCAGACAGTGGGAAACGAGAAGACAGGGATATCCTGGACCGACGTGAAGAACCTAGAAGACCTGGATTTCGTGAGTGGATGATTTATGTTTGATGTCACACAAAATCGAAGACATAAAAGCAAAAACCAACAAACTGATCGAAGATGCAGCAAAGATAGGACTCCAGGTGAACATTAACAAGATGGAGATTATGAAAATAACCAGCCAACAACAACGACATTCATCAACCTGAAACCAATCCGGAAATCTTTGTCACTCAGCATCAACAACAAAATTCGGATTTTCAATACAAACGTCAAGTCATTCAGTTCTTCTATACGGATCAGAAACTTGGCGGGCGGGTCACAAAGAATATTTCCAACAGCCTGTTGCAGACGTTTCCTTTATCAACAACTGTCTTCGCTCTATACTGAAGATCAGACGGCCGGGCCGGCCCGAAAAGAATCACCAACAAGAAACTATGGGAATAAACAAAACACCAGAACCAATCGCCAACCAACATATACGCAGGAGAAAGTGGAGATGGATTGGACACTCGCTGAGGAGGCCTCTGGGTGACATCGCGCGTCAGGTCATTGATCGAGTGGAACCCGAAAGGGAATCGCCGAGTGCGACGTCCAAGGGTGACATGGAGGAGATCGTGTGAAGAGAGGTTGAAACAGTATGGACTGACATGGATGCAGGTGAAAAGTAGAGCAGAAGACAGAATCAAGTGTAGACGTGCATTTGAAGCCCTATGTTCCACTAGAAACCCAAGGGAATAATAATAATAATAATAGACTCCTAGAAGTTAAGGAAAATTAAAAGAAGAAAAGCAATAATTTCGTTTCATAGTCGCATTCTCTTCAGCTGCTTATAACCTAAAAGTTGAGTAGGTAAATATATAGAGAATTTTGTCATACTTGCAAGGATCAAAATGATTTTTGCTAACAGAAGCACATATGCAAATGATGGTTTGTAGGGATTTGACTGTTTTGTTCCAGGATTTTCATCATGAGCTGACATTAGTTAGAGAACCATTGGAAAACCTAGAGGTACTGGACAGCCAGCTGCTTCGTCCTAGTTTGGGAATCTTCAGCAATACGCACCCGCACCACGGGGTTCGAACCCAGGACCTTCTAGGTACAGGACGAGCTCGCAGACCATTAAGCCGCTGGGACCTGATGCAATGGCCCATGAATTCTAACTTCTGCCAATTCACGACATAGCGCAACCGCTAGCCAATACCTTTGGAGATTATTTGTCGTCACGCCCTACCTGCTGCAGCCTGGGGTCACAACTTCCCACTAGAATCCCAGGTAACTACCTATTTGAATAGGGCAAGCCGCCAGTGAGCATCTAATTGGTATTCAAGTATTGGTTTGTAGGGATTTGGTTGATTGGTTACAGGATAATAATAACACATATGTTAATAAACAGTGTTTAGGAGTTCCACTTTCATAACTTATGAAGCAGATCAAAATACGTATATGCAAAATAATTTGTTAAATACATCAAAAATAGAGTTGCATAGTCAAGAAAAAAGGAGAACAGTTGTTGATGATGATGAGGAATGGTGTGGTGAGTTTAACTCAAATTATAGAAACAAAAAGAACAGAATTACACTAAAGTAAAAAGTGGAGTGAGTGCATGTGTGTGTGAAAGCAAACGATTATGTAATCAATCAAGACAAATAAAACAGACATTGAGTCACAAAAACAAAGAAAGACTATTAAATGAATCTTTCTGAACACATAAGTTAGGCTTTAAACGTTTAAAAGCGATTGCCTCGGCAAGTTTGAGGAAAGTTGACTTGTATTGTCTATTAATAATCTTGAAGGATTTCACGCTGTCCATCTGATGGCTCGTAAGGTTGCAAACAGTTGAAAAGAATCCAACGATAAAATAAATGATGGCCTCAAAATATTTCTGCACAAATATTTCTATTTAAATTCATAAAGAGGAATAAATGGGTGAAATTTCATTTCTAATAGCTTGGTGACCATATTGTACGCAATTGGAAGAAGACAGATTTGATATCCAGTATAAAGTGAAAATGCACAAAGTGCCAGGCAGCTGGGATCAACTGTTTGACTTTTCCAATGTCCCGGAAATCTCATATGATTAGCACTGGTAATTTTTATCAACTGCTTCAACTTTCTTGTCTGTCTTTTCTAAATTCTGCATACTACATTCATTAGTTTTATCGCATCATACAGATACAATACTTAAAGTCCTCATAAATCTTCTGGACAGCACAAAACTAAACTAAACCCCTCAGTCGGTTATCACGTATCTGATTTGACCTATAAGTGGAATAACTTCGTGGAGTTATGGTGAATCCACCTAGGAATAGCATAGAAATCTGATATGAAAGTTTATTTCACACACGAATTCCTTTCGGTGAATTAGAATAAAGCAATGACAACAATAACAACTGGAGCAGGATAACACAGATCCATTTCATTTCGTCAGTATCTCTCATCAACTGCTTGCAACCTAAAAATTAAGCTTAGTAGCTTTATTACAATTTTACCTTCCTTTAGTTAGTCGGAGATGAAATGTGGAGCAGTTATAAGGAGTTTATTTTATTCCTTTGCGTCCACAGTGGAACATACGGCTGCAAGCTATAGCTTTGAAGCTCCAGTAGCAATGATGTTTATTACGCGACCAGATTCTTAGCCTCACGCAAACAACCTTCCTTCTTCACCGGACTTATTACCGCTAAGCGAGGCAAAGGAGTGTGTCAACCGGGAATTGAACCCCGGATCATGTGAGGCGTGGTTAGCGATCTTTCTACCTCAGAACCACCGACACCAATTATGAATGACGGTCATAGCATAGGCTGATACAATATAAGATTACTGATATACTTTTATCATTGACGTTATCAAGCGGTTGAAACCTGACTTAGGTATTCGGTAACAGACTGTAGCAAGTCTTTTTCTACATTGGCAACTCACTTTCCAACTTCTAATTGATTGCGTCATCTTTTATTAAACGTTATACTTCATATTTCCGATGTGTAGTTAAATGAGCTGAATTTAATATACTTTTTCATCTTAACAATTCCTAACCATGACTTACGAAGTATTATGATTTATGCACCTTGGTATCTTGTCACTCACTATTCTTGCGCTTCAAACTTTGTGTTTTTATTTCGGAAACTTTGATCACGTTACATATACAAATTAAATTTAATTAAATTAATTAATTTTTCCTTCACGTTCCCCAGTGGAACATAGGGCTTCAAGCCAGTGACTTGAAGTTTCTGTAGCAGTGTTTATTTTTATAGGATGGGGTTGCTAGCCTCATGCCCAAGCTTTCCTTTTTACCAGCATTATTTCTGGCTTAGCGAGGTAAAGGAGTGCGTCGGTGGCCGGGAATCGAACCCCGGGCCATGAGCATGGTCGGCGAGCGTCCTAACCGCTGTGCCACCGACGCACAATTCATATAATTCCATCTTTATTTTCTTACACTTTGACTTTATTATACATCTGATATTGGTAGTGTATCATTCCTATTGCTCGTGTTAGGTGTAGATTCGATAAACAAGGATTCAGTAAACAACCTCTACCTCTGCATAATTAAATTACTTTTCATAACTGTAGCTCTGTTCCACTATTCTTCTGTGTGACTGCGTGTGCACTGCAATTGCTCGGTTTAGTTTTTCTAGACCTTCGCATTATTCTTTCATTACTATTCAAAAATTGTGATAGCTATACACAGCAGGATGGTTAGTCATTTCGTAACCTGGAATTTCTTTTACTCTGTGAACTAATATTTAGTATACTTATAAACCTCAGTTGTAACTAGTGAAAGCATGTCAAATAACATCTTGGATTCTGTCCAGTTGTTAAGTGACTAATAAAGGCAAGGAGGTCACTGGGACTGAAGCGGCGCATGACGGGTTTTAAATCTGTTGAACTTCATGACTCCAAGCATAAGATTTATGTATAGAGTAGTAGTGATAACTGCTACTAACAATTGCTGCTTCAGTACGACGTAAAACTACAGTTGTTGCAACTTTTACAAAGTTAGCTAACCAAAAAAAAATCAATATTCAGTGAACAGTTGAATCAAATGAACCTTCTCACAGCCATACGCATAACTGTAATCTATGTGGAGCTTTGAAGTTTGACAGTGGCCGTGTGTTGCTAGCCACCCCCCCCCCTCCACGTCTAACCTTCCCCCTTCGCCAGACTTACTACAGGCTAGGTAAGGCAAAGAAGTGTATCGGTAGGGAGTTGAATGTAAACCATGTGCGTGACTGGCGAGCATATTATCAGGGAACCAACGATGCAAATACATCGAGAAATAAAGTAGATATATATTAATACACGAGTAGATGTGTCAAAAATCTCGCCAATTATCAGATTACCTAATAGAACTGATATTCAATATTACGCTGAAAATAGAAATCAAGGAAAAGTTTGGATTGAACAAACTTTCGCTCAACCAAATTGCTTAGCATCTTCTTTGAATGTTATAAATATATTCTATTTAATTTTATTTTTTTTAAACATATACAAATAACGGAATATATAAATTGGATCATGGGAAGTATTAAAAAAACGGATGCAGTGAAGCAAAGTTTCTCTTCGATGAAGTTAACACCAACTAGATTGCACATTCATGTACTTACAGTAAATGTGTGAGAAAGTTCTGGAATTATTTCCGGTCAAAGGTTGAATTAATAAAATTAGATAGTGTAATAATCAGGAAGATTGGGTAGAAAAGAACAAAATAAGATCATAATTACTGAAAAACTTGACTGTTTGTACAATTACAGATTAAGGATGCAGTAATAAGACAATAGACAAGGGGTTCGGATAAAATAAACCATAACAATGCAGATGGGAATTAAAAACGTAAAAAATAACAGAAATAAACAAGAAAAAATGGATAAGAAAGATGATAGGATAATCGTTATTGATGGAACTGACTTTTCATGATGGTCACAGTAGGAAAAACCGTTGGACACATAGCGTGGGTATGAGCTTTTGGATTACCAGTGCCTCAGTTATACCTAGATAGGCTTGATTTCACTCCCTTTGACAGGTTTGATAAGTTCTTGTATATGCTTTTGACGGACTTTTCAAATGGAACTGAATATCCTGAACTCATCAGATGTTCTGTTACTGAAATGTACACACCCCTGCGTGAATTCAGGACATTCTACTCTATTTGAAAGGCATTTCAAAGTCATATACAAGATCCGATTAAACTTATCCTTATCGCTCAAAGAATAAACAATCGTATTGTCCAACCCTTTTTTCGTTGTTCTGAGCAGGTTACAGTCCGTGTCACGCTTAGTCTTCTGAAACCAGCTATAGGTCCAGGATCTTTGCAATCAGGATATTTGACACAAGGTCTAAACTTCTTAATATATATGCACTAGATGAATATGAAAGATTTAACGAGTTAATTACATTTATCAGCCTCATGTCATGTATGTTGTTTGAATTCAATTCTCGAGACAGGTCTTTCATATTTCAGACCATGAGCCACACTTAAGTTATTTTTATTTTTGATTACAGCTTGATTCCACACTGTATTTTTGGTACAAATATGGAATTTTTAGCATGGATATCGGTAGCCCAAATTTTGCAGGCCGACCATAGATATCAGGTGTGCGTCGGCAGGGGATCGAACCTCGGACGATGTACATGGTCGGCGAGAGTCCTAACCACTGTACCACCGGGCTGGTGGAGAGGGATTCGAACCCAACAACCCCTGGTTAGTGAATGCTGACTGCTAAAGACAGTAAACTTCGTCTTCACCGTGGAAGACACAAAGATGATACTGTTAGTATATTTCCTCTCCTAAAAAATAACGTTAAAAACTATCACTAGAAAGAATAATATTTAACCAACACTTATGCGTAAATCACCTACCTTGTAAAAGTCCAGGCGTTTCTAAAGGAATAAACAATCTCGACAACTGTGTAAATAAGGTTTCTACGATTTGATTATTCTCTAGTGAGTTTTCATTGGATATTATTGCATGTTTATATTCTTTCATGTATTGTTTAAAATCACTTAATCGGTTAGCATATTCCGATTCGTTAAGTCGATTTGATGACTTAAGGACAGACTTCAATAAAGTTAAATATTTCAGTGATGCTGAACTATCCAATGTGTCAGTAGCATTTGAAGTGAGAGAAGAAGACGACGACGAAGCATTCTCTGAAACATTGATAGAATTAGTCTTCTGTTCCAAAAGTCTTATACGTTTACATGGTTTACGCTGTAGTAACTTCTCTTCCAAACTGTCATCACAGTATGAATTTGAATCAGCTAATGATGTTTTCTGAAATAAAAAGTTATAGATTACTAGAGCACTTGGGGGTGGGGGTGACATAGATAAGAGTATACACATGATTTTTTGACCGGTTGGGTTTCGACATAGAACTCTGCAAAGAAGTGTAGCAATTCAAGCTGCCACACAATAACTATAATAAGAGAAAATGTATGGGAGAAAAAAGTATTGACAGGGCATAAAACATGATGGTTTAATCGATATGGAAGGTGATTGAAGAATGAATACATCTGAGCCAGCCATTGAGCACGATTCTGAGCCGTAATACCAACAGTCCCTTAGTCGTTAGTTCTTAGCATCTCGACAACCTCAACCAGGCAGTAGTGTATGGCTAAAGTCAACTGTCACATACTTCATGGATTTATGCCAACCTAATCCTGTTTCAGTAAACATTGCTCGTCGACGAAGACCATGGCCCCGCATGTATGAAAATAGCATAAGACGAACATTATACAGATATGAATATGAATCAAAATCAAGGCAGGTCAAAGTACCAACAAAGCAAGGCCTTGTTCTTATAAATTCACTTCCTAGGGGATAGCATCACTGAGATATGTTAACACAACACCTGAAGAATGTGGTAATAAGAGCATTCAATGTTGCTGAATTATACTGTGTTTTCAAAACCACACGTATTTTGCGTTCGGGAGTTCAACATAAAGTGCCTAATTTCACCTCTTATGTATGTATATCTACCGATTTGACTGCTCCTGTGGAGCCAGTCATCTGCTCAGGCTGTACAACTAGGCGTGTTTATAGTCGGATTTCCGAACACCATTCTGCGTGGTTAAGTAAGGGAGAAACAAAGTCCATTCACAATTCTATTCTATCTCATCTCGTGGATACAGAATACAAACTTCATGATGTTAACGAGGCTTTCAAAGACATCTATCGCAAAGCAACTAATGTTATCTTTACCTCAAGAGTTCGTCGACTACATATAGCTGAGACTGTTGGGATCCACTTTAAGAAACCTGACTTATATATCCAAAAGAAGTTGATTCAAACACTTTCTTTGCTTTGGCCATCAAGGTTTCAATGATCCTTAATTTGTTGTAGAAATTTCCTCAGTTTTATTTCATGTTCATTAAAAACTATATAAATTATATGTCAAGAGTATGATTATCTGAGAGTTTAACCAGGTCGTTGTTAAAAAACAACAACATAGAAATTACCTTACAATAGAAAAATTAGAACTCAAAAAGACAACTTTAGGGATTGATCACTGTTACTATTCAAACGAAAATGTGTTCCTGACAGAATCCCAAACAATCAGAGATAAACAACAACAGATTACGCAACACTTTATATTGGATATTCTTTATCATTTTATGGTTTCTTTCACTCCACTGTCCACTTGTATCAAAACAAAAACTTGGAAAAACGAGTCACTGATATGCTACTACTTATGGGTGTTTCTTATCATGTTGGAAAAATACGACATCCTGTTCAAGGCCTAGTAATCAATAAAATGTCTTCTGCTTACGGCTATAACAAATTCACATTTCAACATTCAGAAGATGGCATTTTTGTTTTAATCATTTCATGGTCAGTAGGGCATAACCGATGTCACACGTCTAGTCCTTGGTGTTGTTACCGATTGAATTCAGTCAGTAAAGTTTACAATGTGGTCACTAAACTAGGGGACTCGTCACCGCGGAGCATTCCGAATTGATTTCAGCTGGTTACAGGCGACTGACAAGAAGCCCTGGACCTAGGCTGCATGTCGGTTGGGATTTATCTGTAACCTTATTGGAACTGACATACCCTCCGGGATTCGAACCAGCGGTTACAGAGATTATGATAGAGTTATTCGGATTGATAACCGACCTCAGGCAAGACTGTAATTGATTCACTGATTGGTCACTAGAGAGTAATGACAGTCATGTGTCCCTTCCTTGATGTTGATTCTAACTGAATTCTATTAATGTGTGCTTAGCAATTGACGCAGAGCTTGACAAGCACAATATTTAGGCATTATTGCACACACACACACCATTCAAGAAACCATCAGTTATTAGTAATCAGTCAGAAATGTTAAAGATTACAATACACATAGTCACACAACACTATTTCCTTCTGTTTTTAGTGTAATACATTACATAGGTGAATCGGTAGGAAATATACTTTAATCTGCATTTCGCACTTCTCAGTATACTGCTGAATAAAGTCAAAATCTTAAGGTTACATACAACGTTTACTAATAAACGCACAGATATGAAGAGTTAACATCAATGCTTTTTTACTAATTAATTAACAGCATACATAATAATTGTGCACGGTGGTTTACTGACAGAATGCTCGCCAACCGCGTAAGTAGTTCAGGTTCGAATCTCGGCAGACGCTCTCCTAAACCTCACTACTTAACCGGTAATAAGTCCGGTAAAAAAGGGAAAGTTGAACGCGAGGCTAGAAACTCCTCCACGTCTTGTAAAAAGCAATACAGGAGCTACTGCAATTTTATAGTTGAGGTCTAAACACCTTGTTCAATTTGATTGGCAAAAGAATGAAAAAATATATACACAAAAATTTAAATACCCTCATTAAATAAACCACTGTCATACTGTAAAATATGCATACACACCAAGACACATACATACACACATTACCTGATGAATATTCTCTGATTGACTGTACACCATATCAAAAATTGAAGAAGACGATGATGATACTGAAGTAGAAATCTCTTTTTGACTATCAATGTTATGCTCGTCTTGTTTCGTCATACTTGTAGACTGATAATGATCTAGTTGAGAGTTGTAAGTTGTTACCAGTGACAGTGAGTCATTTAGTTTTGGGCTAAATATATTCAGCTTGGTATAAAAGGAAAGAGGCAGAAGGAAAAGACAGAAAACAATCATGATTAATTTTCAGGTAATGGTTTTGTAGGGATTTTGTTTGATTGGATGGAAAATTTCATCATGAGCTGACATCGGTTAGAGGACCAGTGAAAAACCTGGGAGTACTGTACATTTGTTTCGTCCCAGTTTGGGACTCTTCATCAGTGGCTCAATGGTCTAATATCTCGCCTTTTAACCACAAGGTCCTGGGTTCGAACCCCGGTGGGTGCGTACTGATGAAGAGTCCCAAACTAGGACGAAACAGCTGTCCAGTACTCCCAGGTTTTCCAGTGGTTCTCTAGCTAATATCAGCTCATGATTAATATGTAAAGAAGATGTATGTCTACTTGATACTGAACTCCCTTTGATAGACTTACCTAATTTACGGATGGAACATTTTTAATCACGTTTTTTCTTAAAAAAGTTTTAACCTTGGATTATCGTTTTTCAGAATATTACTAACAAGCTTACCTCTACGATGTGATATTTTGAAACACATTTAGTGAGAATTATTCATCTTGTGCTAAAATTGTTACTAAGTTTCGTAATGAAAAGCCCACGATGAAATAGCAAAGCTCATCTAGCTACAAATCCACTTTGTCATTGCATAAGTGTGTGTGTCTGTGGTTCGGCGGTAGAATGCTTGCGAACGACGCCTCACGTGGTCTGGACTTCGATTCCTGGCCGGAGCACTCCTAAACCTCACTAAGCCCGTAGTAAGGTCAGTAAAGAGGGAGAAGGTCGGGAGTAAGACTGGCAACTTCAACCTGTAGAAATAAAACCACTGCTACAGAAACTCCAAGCTCTAGCTTGAAGTTTCACGTTCCATGCGGAACGTAAAGGAATAAATTTTTTTTACACGATTGCATATGTGTATTTGACCTCTAAAATACTCGTGTATCAAAAAATTGTTACATATATTCTATTCTACTTCCACGTACAGACGAATCTTTTAGGTAGAAATACATAAGATAAATAACGGTGTTCAACATTTCGAATATCATAAAAAAGCTTCCGTCAATTCAAATAAAAGCTTTAAGTAGGGAGATTTTATTTTTGTACCACACATATTCAGCCACTGGTTGAAGGACCTCACAAGTGGTAGAGCACCAAGGGATACTTCAAATCGACGAATATAACTGAGATGTAGAGAGGGTATTAAACAAGAGTATGTGTATTAAGATTGCTTACTGAAACTGGTAGATCACTTTATAATGGTTATATCAGTTTTCAACATTGTTATAAGTGATTCATTTCAAAATACAAGACAGAGAAACAGTTAACTAATGGGGATGTTCATTTCCGGTGTTCCTGGTCAACGTTATCACAAAAAATAGTGTTGCTTGAAGGCTTTCCCATTAATTTAATAAAATATAACCCTTTGGATATTTTTGATTCTAATCTGTAACATTTAAAACTCGACATTGACATGATTTAAAATGATGAACTACAACTCACAAATACCGACTTCTAGCTTAAGTATAGAAACGAAGTGATCGAGGGCTTCACGACTGCACACAGATTTTAACTTCCTCTTGATATAATTTTATATATGCGACTCCTGAAAATCAAACCCGTCCCTGCTCATTTACGTCCCGCTTGAAGACCTGGTGTATACCTAATCTTTTTTCCGTTCCTTTCTGCATATTTGCTGACCAATAGATACTTGACTGGCTCGTTGCCTGATAGAGTTATTTGCTGCTTATCTTATTTGGTCGATCATCTGGTCTTCCGTATGGAAAGTAAGGAAGACAACTGTTGGTGGAAGTCTGCAACAGCCTTTGGGAAAGGCTTTTCGTGACGCGCGCACCAAGTCTCTCAACCATATAGAAACAGTGACTAGACATGATGAAAATGTGTGGACGACATTTTCATTATTTGTGACAACAACAACGACCCCAATCTACTCCTGAAAACATTTAACAGTTGTCATCCAGCAATAAAATTCACTCTTCAAATGGAAAACGAGTCAAAAATTCCGTTTCTTGATGTGGAACTAACAAGAAGAACTGATGGGAGCCTAAGAAGATCGATCCATAGAAAGCCTACGTGGAATGGTCAACTAACAGGCTTCTATATCTGGGTACCCATTCAACAAAAGCGAAATTTAATTAAATCACTTGCCACCCGCATCCAACGCATCTGTAGTCCCGACGTGGCTGTCCCAGTGGCTGAATGGTATACGAGCTTGCCTTGTAACCGGAAGGTCCTGGGTTCGAAACCCAGTGGGTGCGTACTGCCGATGATTCCCAAACTAGGATGAAACAGCAGCTGTCCAGTACTCCCTGGTTTTTTGCCTCCAAAGCCTCAGGATGGTCGGGGGTGGGTGTCTTGCGCTGCGGGTTGGCCACCCCTCCGTACACCTCTTGAAATGCTCCCATATGACCGTGCGTCTTACATAGCCTCTCCTGAGGAAGTCCTACTCACTGCCTTCACGTGGCAGGTGTTTCTCACTAAAGTGAGAGGGCAAAAGTGGATGCCCGGCGCTCTCCACCGGGTTGACTGTCCATTGGATGACAGTCTAGGGGAGATGGCTAAACCCTGATTCCAAACCTCCAACGACTGGCGTATGAAGCTCACCGGCAGACGTATGGACAAAGGGCTTATTGGATGCCCTGGATGACTGGCCCCATTCAAAAAGGCGAATGAACCGTACTCCGGTCACCGGCTGCCAATGGATAGTGGACTCCCTACTCCACTCCTACTGCCTTGTAGGTCACACTTGGTTGTGTAAAGGCTAGAGCTGCACTCTCAAACAAAGGCCGAGCGATGCTGGGGACATCACTCGTACCCAATTCCCATGAAACTTCATGGTTCATGAAGCCGGCTCATCCTCCCGTAGGAGATAGCCGAAGTAAAGTAAGTAAGTCCCGACGTTCTGGAAACAGAATTAGATATTCTAAGAGAAATCTTCATCCAAAATAGTTACCCAATAAAATTTATCGACAAAAAAATATCAAACCAATAATTCGGAGAAATGAAACTTTAACTGCGCCTTAAAAGAAAATCTACATGAACTTGGATTTCAAGGGGGATTTAGCAAGCGATATTCTCAAGAGAAGGATCACATCATCTCTGAGAAAAACATTCTTTGCATCAACGCTAAGAATAGTGTTCTCCAGTCGCCCACTGATCTGAAGAAGCCTCAAGGACAAGACCCCGCATCTGACCACTTCTATGTGCTTATATCAGTTCACCTGCTGCTGTGGAGCCAGGTACATCGGTCGTTCGACGCGCACCCTGTCCAAGAGGATTCAAAAACTCTATCCAGCGTGTTGCAAAAAGGCAATAGTGGTGCAATAAGGAGTGCGATAATTGAACACCTGGTTAACACTGATCATTCCATTTCAACAGACGCCTCCTTCAAAGTAATCTACAGAATCAAGAATAACCTATCAAAGGCAATACGGTTTTGTCTTCTTTGTATCGCTGAAGTTCTGGTCACTCACATAGAAAAGCCGGAGCTGTGCATACAAAAGAAGATTACTCAACCACTTCTACTCTCATGGTAACAATGTTTTTATTTGTTTTGAGTTCTTTATTTTTATTTTGATGACTTAATTTTGTTTGTTTGCCTGTTCTTTAATTGCTTATAATTCTTGTATTTACTTAGATCTCTTACATAATTTCGTATTATCTACTTTGTTTCTATGTGCATCCTGAGTAAAACTCATCAAACTATTCATATTATTATGACATAACTTCTTTCAACAACTGTTTGTGACAACTCATCACCTTTGTTACTACCCTAATTTCATTAACACCTAATTTTCTTGACTAGTATTACTAACCTTCACCTGTTTAGTCAAAAGTAACCTTAACCAATTGTAATTTTGTTTGACAAACTTAATGTACACATACATACAAAATAACGCATATTTGCGATTGTACAACTGAGAAAATGAATTCGCCGAAAAAAGTCTCTTCGCTGACCTACATGTTTTGTTTTCATAAGAGTTAAGAAGACGAATAACTTTAGATTTCCCCCACCCATTGGTGGTGATTGTTGTCTCTAAGTTCACCTGAATTGCTGGTTGAGTCTTAGGGTTAAAGAACTCCAAGCAAACTACAATTCTTAAGTCATTTAGTACATGTGGTATCTTGAGCAAAATAATAGGAACACATAAATCATGATAAGAAGTTATACAGTATCACTTATATATCACACATAAAAAATGCTGATGAATAAGAAAGAACATATATCTATAGAAATGCAGATATTCATCATCTAAAATAAGCGAATTGATAACACACTTACCTCAGAAGCTGAAGGTAGATTTGATAAAATCCCTGACCAATTAGGTGTAGACAACGGCCGCTTTCTTTGAGAATTACTTGTACATTTGTCAGTTGACAGGTTGGCTACACTAGATGAGGCAGGCTGATCACTTGATGGATACTGGCGAATGAAGGATATGAAAAGGTATAATACAAATACTGAGATGATAAAATTATGTCAGTAGGAAAAGCGTTTCATGACATTGACAACAATCTATTATTACTTCTAATCACCGAAAATACTCGTTGAATCATGAAGAGGATAAAAGACAATTCAGTGATTGTACAGCTATGTGAATGAATTCGTTGAAAAGAGCCTCTTCGCTGAACGTCTTCTCTTTTTCATATGACTCAATGAAAAAATTTTCTCTTTATCGACGAAATTATCTTCACAGGCAGTACATTCGTATTTATATTTACCAAAAATGTATAATGGTCCATTATTAAGTAATAGGGGGTGGCATAATTGATATAATTACTCGGAAGTCGCTTCAAAAGTGAAAATAATAAAAGTTATAAATTACGTAATACCGAACGGCACAAAGAAAGAAAGGGGTAGAAATTTGAAAATGTTAAAATTGTTATTGAGGGAGAAGAAAGGTCGTTGAGTGTGTCCATTTAACAAGTGTGAAGACGAAGAGAAAATGTACAATAGGAACATGTGAGAGTGATAATAGTAAAAACAAAGTAATCATTCAAAATATAAAAAATTTGCGGGGAACAAATAATGAAGGGGTTAAGACGATAGTAAAATAAGAGACTGGACAAGCGTCTTCTGTATACAGAGTTCAAGGTTGTATTGACGAACTGCCAACGACTCCATCAATCAACAAAAACCGAAACCTGACGCCCTTTCTACCATTTAGCCTCACCTTATAGATAATCTTGAAAGATGACTCTGGTGGAGCAGTTTGGCTTGAGTTCACCAAGTGCTCGAGAATTGAGCTAGTAACTGTCTTGCATTGTCCTTTTGCTAACCATCCCGGATAATGCTCAGAGATGCGTTTGGAAAGTGTGCGGCCAACATATCTATCATTACTTTCATATTAATTTATTTATTGGTTAAATCATACAGTGAAACAACATTATTTAACGGATGATATTTCTAACATAATCTATTGTTCATAATCATATTGGTTATCACTACACAACCTTGAAAACAACTTCAGTTTTAGGATTCCTTTCATTCCTTCCCATTTATCGTAGGAGTAGTAGAATTTTTGCTAGATGTCCGGCTGGACAGGCGTTGAATCATTCCTACTGCACGCATTTTAGGTTAATTCAATAAAATAAAGCTTTGGTTATCACAGTTTCTTCCTCCACCTTGCTGTATGAGTTGTGTGTGATTGAACGTAGTTCTATACCTCAGGTATTTTCTAGATTTCTTCTTAGGATCAACTTATCTATATTTCACTGATCCTTATGTGTTTAACCTTGCAATAATTGCAGAATATTAGATAAACTAAATTATTTTCTTTAATAAGCTGAACAGGATCTTTTCACCAACGTAATTGTTTCTAAGTAGGTTGGAATGCTGCTTTTATTCCTGCTTTGTTAAGAATTCTACGTAGGCTTTTAGAGGTTATGAGGTACTACTGATGTTTTAAATTCCCTAATGTTGGTGTTGTTATTTCTGAAACCTTAAGAGGAATTTTTACATCGAGAGAGAACAACATATATATATATATCACTATTGAAGTGTGGTGGTATGATACAGAAATCGCGTTCCAACGGAATTTTATTCTCACAGTAAGAATCATTGTATTTGTTAGTGTTAACGTCTGAATACTATTCCCACAGTTCAACACTGCATTAGCAACAGAATACTATATATACTCGAACATTCTCTTCCATGTCGTTTAATGCAAGCCAAAATCACACGTCCAGAGATTGGTTCCAGAATATAAACTGTATAGATATAAATAGTTGTTTGATCATTTGAAAATATACCTTGGTTTCCGTATCTTGCCTTCTGCTGTTACAGAAGCACTTCAGAAAGTAGTCTAAGAATCCAAGACATTATCCTTAAAACAGCTGGTAAGGCAATCCAAAAAATGGATTATGGGTACGAGTACCCGAGTTATATTCTGGGGATTTAAGTACAGGTCTCATTGGTTGAATATTATCTAAGAAATAAAGTAACTTTAAATGTGGCTAGTGACCTAATGCACAAATATGCATGGAGTCGCACGGTTGTCATATAATGATGATAATAATAATAAATCTCTTACTTTCATCCGCATATTACGGAAAAATTCACAAGTATCCCTCACAACTGATTCTACACTGTCATAAACATTCCGTTTCGATCGCATCCAACTGGACAAATTTGTTTGTGCACTACTGGAAGCAAAACGTTCATCACACAGGTAAATTATGCCATAATCCTTGTAATGACGAATAACTCTGTAGGGCAAAAAAGAAAAGAGTAGACGCTTCATTTTATAGGGTAAAAAAACCAATCCAATACATATTTTTTTCTCAACTGGATAATTTGTGTATTTCAAAGCAGATTTTATTAAACATACGATACAAATTACATAACTACTGAACTCTACAGAGCATCTGTGACTCATTGGTCTAGGCGTTTGACTTCCAACAATAGGGCCATAGGTTCGAACTCCACTACACCCACCTAGGTTTGGGTAGTCACAGAGTATCATAAGACAGACACCTAATGTGCAACGGCTATTTGTCAACTCTATGTATCGATGTGCATGTGGTTGTTGAATAACTTCCCTGAGGATATGGAAGTTGTTCCGTTCTATTCTGGACCTTTATAGGACCAATATACATATGACACTACTCGGTGTTTTGATGAAAAGCAGTAACCTGTGGAGTTGGTTTGATAGAGGGAATAAATCTTATTTAAACCAAAAATTGTAATTTATGCATCATCTGAGTTCAAATCAATGACTGTTGAGATTGCCAGTTTGTAGTTCAGAAAAGTCCCTAACAAGGATGAAAGAATTACATATTTCTTGTTGGTTTCCAATCGTCTTAGTTGTTATACTTCTGATTTACGTATGTGAGACATGTCCATTTAAGGTGCAAGATATGAATAAATTATCTGTTTTTGGTCATGAGTACCGTCGTTCCACCTCCCAGGTTAAGTAGAGCAATATGGTTAGTAATAATAAAGTTAGATGTAGAGTGTTAAGTTAGGAGGAAAGGTCAGTCGACAAGGTTATGAAGCTTCACCAGCACAGCTGGTTAGGAAATGTATCACACGTACTAGATCACTATCTTCTCTGGCGAACGATGTCAAATGAGACACAATAAAGCTGAAAAAGAGTTAGATGTAGTCCGATGAAAACATGACACCAATTTATCGAGTACCCGACTATTGGCATGGAGAGGCATAGTTTGTCTTTTTGGAGTCCCCAAGATGCCAGGAATCAGTGACAGAAACTGCTGCTGATATGTCTTTAAATCGTTATCAGTGACAGTGATGTATTCACTTTTGTCAGAGCCTTAACCTAAAAGAACTGTACACATCTAAATCGATGACAATCTTCTTAGATAACAAGGGAATCTCTGAGTCAATAGAGTTGATTAGTGTTGGATCCACTAATTCTATTCCACTCGCCTCCTACAGTTTGGTTGAAGCAAAAGAAATCCGCTGGCTTTTAGAAATCCTGGGTTGCCGATTATCGGCAGCTTTCACTACTGTTTCTACAACTGACTGGATATGATGTCAGACTTTAGCAGGAAGGTATGGCTTTTATTCTCAGATGCTTACCTACTTATATCCCCTATGAATAAACGCTTTGTGTTTTAATCAGGAAGTTGAGAGAGAAGCGGTCTCGTAAGTGCTGACCAGGAATAGATGACTACCTGGAAAGAATTACAAAGATGACCACTGTTGTCGGTTCGCCGGCATGAGACTCCACAGATGCTAACTAGTATAAGTTTCAGGCTGGCATAGCCTCATTACTTGAGAATTGAAGCCAGACGCTAAAGTGATTATATCTGATAGGTTTGCTTTTAGTGGCAAAATAGACAGCTTTTGATAAAACTCATTCTTTATTTCCTCCCAAATGTAATTATTTAATGAGTAAGCGAAGATTATGAAAAGGCTGTGACCGTTATCACAATCTTTCCTTCTTCTCACAGATCCGTTCAGCCGGATCGCACACACAGAACTGCCCAATGGAATCCAATGAAGTAGCAGTTTCACTGACAAAGGACTTAATGTTATTCTTCACCAGGAAGTCTGCGCGAACAAGCCGAATTATTGTGCGACATCTGTAAGCAGACTTTTACAGATTCAACAATCATCTTCAATGAGCGCCTCCTAAATACAACATTTATTCATAACTCCAAATGGAAGAGTTCTTGCTAGTGAGGTTTGTCCTGAGATTTGGCATAAGACACAGCATGTTAAATGCTTCAAATTGAAGTTGGTAATGTGATTTTAAGAGATAAGGAGCTATGTTTTCCTGCCACATGTCGGCACTAACGCGGATAATATATTCCTTCTAGGTGAAGACGCTGACAAAATGCAGAGTCCTTTGAACACCTTGAGCAGCTAGCAATCTTCAAATGATTGGCATGCGATTCGCTTCCGTAAAATGTGAGATGATGTTACAGGACTGGACTGGACTGGACTATATTAACTCCTAACTTAAATATAGGGAGTAAAGTGGTTAGTTGAGCGTGTTGACCACTTTACCTATTTTGGAAGTTACATCAGCCAACACCAGCGGGTTGATTGCTCACAAAATCTCAGCACGGATACAGAAGACTCGTTTGGTATACGCCAACTTACGTCATCTAAGTCTGAGTAAACGTGACATCCGGCTGACTGTCGACCAAAGGTGGTGTGAACTGCACAGCAGTCCACACCCTCCCTTACGACTGTGAGACATGCTCATTGGAAGTGAGAGATATGAAAAGGCCAGCTGTCTTTCATTACAGGTACCTGCGTTCTATCTCCCGTGTTAAGTGGTATAATGAGGTGAGCAATATTGAGGTAAGGAGGAGAAATCAATCGAAAAGGTTGTGAAGTTACATTGATTGAGAGAGATAGTTAGGACATGTGTTACGCATTCATGTCTAGCCATTGCCTTCTTTGAAAGGCAATGTCAGCTGACTAACGTAGGATGGGTTGGGTTGGAAAAGAGCCAGAGGTAATCAAACGAAAACGTGGCTTCATCAGTCATTGAAATCCACAACAGTTAGTTTAAGCCATGTAGGGAGGTGTAGATTTCCTGACTAGTTGGGGTTCTTCGTAAGGTAAGAACCAATGAAGATCAGAGAAGGTCAAAATCAAAATAATGGGGGAACTATTAATGATGACATGAATAGGAAAGAAGATAAGACACATACAGTTTTACCATTTAAGGAGGGGACATCTGAGTCTCCACGTAGGACTGTTAATAAAGCAGGAATCAGGGTGGCATTCAAACCTACAAACTCACTCAGCTAGGAAAAGCTATGTAGATTAAAGGACCCAGTTTACTCAATTAGACAAAATAATATAATTTACAAAATACCTTACAATGACTGTGAGTTAAATCAAATACACAGGTCACACTAGAAGTAGATCGAGGGTTGTTCATGGAGTCTACATCCAACACGTGCGACAGGAATGACTCATCACCTATACCGGAAATACGGAGAATACTACTGACAATCAAATCAAGCGATGAAAAATAGTGGAATCATATAAACGAAGTCAGCAAGTTGTGTGAGTACCTTGATATGATTATGAGCAATAAATTGTGCTCGAAACGTCATCAGTAAATATTACTGTATAACACTGTGAGACTTTATCAAAATAAATTTAATGCACAGTGCAAGAACCAATGAAGGTTGAAGGCAATCGGTGATGTGGCCAGCTCAAAATCGTTGTTCTGAATAGCTGGCGCAGATGCATTCACCCTTTGTGATCTGCTATTTCCAATAAAACTCTTGTTCTCTCATATTACTAATCTTTTTCTCTCCCACTTCTGTTTACTGTCTCTGTCTTTTGAATCTCTCTTTACTCTCTTCTTTTGCTTTTTGTGCTACATGAGGTGTGTCAACTGGAACTGTTGTACATCTGTGCAAATTTCTGCACCGAAACCAGTCAGTCGGAGAACCTACACATGAAATAGTATTAACAGTGATAAGTAAGCAGGAAAGAAATCGCTCCTAGATCTATCCTTGACCTGTCAATTGTTGTAATCAGCACGTTGCTTTGCAACTACTGAGTCGAATATGTAAACCACTCATTACATCTGTCTTGACTTCACTCATCGCCTACAAACTTTCCTTTGGATATTAGGAGGCATGTTTCGAAACAATTTATAAGTGACTGGTAGGTTAGTGAACGAAAAATATTATATTTACCTGCCAACAGCTTGGTTAATTGCTCGCCATGCTTGTAAATTATACCATTGTCGACCAGTAGGATATTTATCTAATAAATTTTTCTGTTCTTTATCCTGTTTTGCATTGGATTTCAATTTGACGCATTGTTCATCTAAATAAGCCATTTTTAAGCGTACTCTGGGATCATGGAATGGTGCATACGGTAAACCGAGTATAGCAACACCTCGGCCAGCATCATCGGCTAAATCTAAGCCTTCACTGACACGACCACGCATTACAGCAAATAGAATTGCTCCATTCGAATTTGTACTGCAAGCAGAGACTCGATAGTCATTGAATACCTAGGACATATACATGTGATTAATTAAATTAAACAGGGAACTGCTTTATTTTTAAAAATACACATATGATTTTTTCAAAATAAAAGCATTGACTTAGTTTGAAACATTTAAAGCGTGTCATTCTTCTGTCTTTCCTTCGTTTGCATTGTAAAACACACAGCCTTAAGTTTCGAAGCTTCAGCAGACCGTGACAGCTAATGATACTACCTTGCTGCCCAAGACTTGGAAGGTGTAGCGAGGTGGCCGGTGAATTACACCTCCACAGATTAAGACTTCCTTTATGGATTGACCTCAAATCTCTATAACTTTATTGCAGTGCACTTTAATATCTTGTTACTCAGTTGAAACACTACGATGCAAGCCGACGGATTAATAATTCTAGATTAGGACTTAGAATTCCACGTGAAGAAGTACATTATTTTAAACACACGGATTAGGAGAAAAGCAAGCACATGTGAGACGATGATTATGATTCATAATCGTCACTATGATAGAAAACGAAATATTTAAATAAAAATCAGTGGAGATGTTTGAACGTGTTAAAAGTGCATATGCTTACACCAATGTGAACAATTCGACACTCATGTAGCCATTAATCTCTAAGCACTGATTCTAAACATTCTGAAGACTCCACGTCTCAGATCAACTGGAAGAGGATTCGCGATAGGTTTCGATTATATACACCTTAACTACAATCTTAACTAGTAAAGGCATAATTCACACAGTTAAGCATTCAGTTTTCAGCCACCCCCCGCCCCCAGAAAGAATATGATCAGTAGTATAACATGAGGTGATAGGCAGCCTGATACTTAAACACCAACTTGTATTGAATGAGTAATCTTCATCATTAGTACTGAATAACGACGACAAGGTAAATTTCGACAAAAAAGAAGACAGAACAAGATTATATCACACTACCTTATTAAACTGATTCTTTTCACGAGGTTCAATGAAAATTTGTTTAATTCGTAACAACTTTTCGAAAATATCACCATTCTATTAAAAGAAAGATGACAATGGGAGAAGAATTAAAAAGTTTTCAATGCATAGGTATAATACAATAGATTGTTGATATAAAAGACATGGAGTGTGGCGACTTGAACTGCCGCATATTTGTGCAAAGTTCTCTATCGAAAACAGACAGACAGACAGATATTATATATTTTTTACCTATACTACAATGGTTTACCAGAGATATGTACGGTTTGCAGTCTCACCATTTTTAAGAAATGATTTATGGTGAGGATCAAAAGAACATAACATCTTAAAGATCATCTTCAATAATACTTTGGAATATTCGTTTAGATCCGAATAGGTACCAGAAATAGCTGCTAAAATAAATGATTAAGGCAACAGTATTGTCAATTGTTTGTGAAAGTATTAGTTTTTGTTGTGTTTAAGCGTTCAAGTTCCCATATCATTTAGCCTAATGTCATACTGCGTTCTACTGTTCGAGCACGATCCCTAGTTAGCTAAGCACGCGCCTAAATTTAACAGCATCGATCTCGATATATATTCTGTACTTTGTACAATCCAGTTATCGTTGGGAACTGGACCACGTCAAATAAATGCATTTCGATGCGCCTACTCTGATATATTCGTATCTTCCTGCTGACGGAATCCAAAGGCTACAAGATAAATATCTGGAAAACGAACCATGATAATTTTGTAACAATTTAATAAGAACAATTTTTGATCGGACACTAGTCAGTAATATGTACAGTTCTATCTTTGGTGCAGACTGAATTCTACCGTCAGTCAATTGTACAATGTGGCCACCATGTCACTAGGTGTCTTGTCATCACGGTGCACTGTGAATTATTGGTGTTAGATTGCCTCCAACCAACCAATACCAATATAAACAATATTAAAACCGATAAAATGGAGATATACTAACCAAAAATACAGGTTAACAAGGTGAAAAACGCTTCACTTATAACATTTTCATGTTCATGTGGACCTGATTTATTGTAATACAGATTACAACCTAAACAGAAAACTATTGGAAACCTAAGCACCTTGGAAAGCTGCTTTAGCATCCCACTTTTCAGCAGCGTCCACCTACACCTCTGTTAGGAGTCGAGCTTTCAGATAATAGGGTAAGTGCGTCGGTCAAGTGAACGCGTAGAATCCAGTAACTTACAATTTTTGACTTTATTACACTCTTAATATAGCTTTACCATCACTGAACAGCGACTCTGGTGGGCCACAATTCTTAAACTGTACTCACATATTACTGAATAACCATTGAATATCTTGTTTAGGTAAAACATATTTTGTATTTTGACATCAGGTAAGAGTAAAACTGAAGGCCTACAGTATTTTTAATCTATATATTTGTTGTGTTGAATAACTGCTACGAACAACTCAACATTTTTTAATATGACATTCAGAACAATTTGGCATTACCAGTTAATTCCGATTCTGTGGATTTTCATTTTATTTAAGAGGCAGCTATGTATTTGATTTCAGATTGGAGTCGCTCATTCTTTTACACTGTTCGTTTAGTCATTTTGTTTGGAGTAGTATTCACTTTTCAGTTCACTTGGTCTCTATAGTCGATCTGGTGTTCTAAAATAAAGTCACAGGTATTGGTTTTGTAGGGATTTTATTTGATTGCATGCAGGATTTCATCATCAGCTGACATCACTTAGAGAACCACTGATGTCAGCTCATGATGAAATCCTGCATGCAAAATCGCAGGTAGCGAATTTTCTTCTCTTTACAACATTGGGATAAATGTTCGATTGTACGTTTAGATAGCAAACAAGCATTTATCCCCAGGCTTTTACAGTGACATGAAAGGATTGTTATCAGATCTAATCTGAACATCGAGAGAACTCGCAAATTAACATTGGAATCATCTACCGAGTATGCGGGAATCTTGTTAAAGATGTGCGAATAGAGCTTCTTCAAAAAGTGAAAAAGCTATGGCAGTTCACATGTTAATTCCTGAACTATGCAAATAGAAGTTTGTTCAGTCGATGAACCTACTATAGACCTGATCTGTCTAAACAGTTGACCTATAATCTTTCTAAATTTTATTTTTTCTCTTCACACTCTTACACTTCAACTCTCTATGATACTGATTTGATTTGACCTTTCAATATTCGGTGAACTCTATTCAATGTTGCCAATTACGTCACGTCACTCAACCTAATTAATTTTGCTTTATCCTGCATCCGATAAGTCATTATGTATTACATAATTTAGAATCTCTTGAGTGCTATCCAAAATTTAAAAAAATTTTAATGACTCATTTTGTAACATTACTTGAACTTGCCCGGTCGTTTCAACTCTTCCATGTGTATTTACCAGTTTAACTGCTCGTGCGGAGGCAGTTACATTGGGCTTAAGACAAGGCGAATTCATCGCTGAATTTCTGAATACCTCTTATCTTGGTTTGAATAAAGCCATACGCAGCTCAATACTAGCTCATCTCGTTGATAATGACTGAACACCAAGTCAACTCTAACAAAGTTTTTCAAGACTATTTATCGTATTCCGCTCAAACTCTCACATGGTCTAGGAGTACTACTTTTATATAATACAACAGAGGCAATCAGTATTCATATGAACAAGCCATATCTGTGTATTCAAAAGGAACTTGTGCAGCCCCTTTGTTTGTGATTGCCAACTACAAAATATGTATTAAGTTTCACATACGATTTTTCCTTCCCGTTTTGACTTTCTTCTTTTATTGTGATTGCAATTCTGGCTAATTCTATTAACCTGTTTGTATTTTACGTAATCCTTCTGAGTCATCATTATTTTACAGATTTCTTGATTGTGCAATAACATGTTGCTAACGCCTATGAATTAACTTGAATTCCGTAACTAATTTTCACCCCTCCTTCGAAACTCAGATATCTTGTTACTAACGTCAATTAGTTAATTTCATATGCACATGAATTCATAGGATATAAAGGACTTGGAAGGGGTGTGAAATTAAACGATCAGTAGGCGAATCGAATAACATAAAAAGGTTACGTAATATTGTGTGAAATTTGATAACATAGAATTTAACGTTACAAAACAGAATTGATTTAGAATGACAAGTGGAACAAGTGAAATAATACCGGGGACAGTTCAAAGTGAGAGTAGTAATAGTAACGATTGACACTATAAGAAAAGGAGAGTATACAAATTGAATAGACGAAACGAAAAAATTAGCAGAACGAAAATATGATTAGGGATTACCATATTTTAGCATAGATGGATTAAGACCATGAAAGTTCCAGAGGTTCAACGAACTTTTTCTGTATTCATTTATTTATTTTTGATTACAGCTTGATTCCACACTGTATTTTTGGTACAGGTATGGAATTTTCAGCATGGATATCGGTAGCCCAAATTTTGCAGGCCGACCATAGATATCAGGTGTGCGTCGGCAGGGGATCGAACCTCGAACCATGTGCATGGTCGGAGAGAGTCCTAACCACTGTGCCACTGTACACAGAGATCTGGCTTTTCTGTTTCGATGGTCAAAACTTCAGCAATACAGATGAGTCGGATACGCAGTGATTTTTGGGTAAATTGCTTTTCGCCATGTAGATGACTTTACAGACAGAGATTGTAGAGATAGGGTGGTCATTATCGATCAGACCTTCAATGATCGCGCTTCTTATTGCTCCACTTCCACCTATTCGTAACCACCCTGCAGGATAGTGTTCTTTCAACCTTTTGGACAAAACTCGAGTCGAACGACCAATATATCTGGCTTCAAACGTTCAGGTGAATTGATAAACGCACACAGAGTTGGTCAACTGAGGGTTCTTGTCCTTCAGGTTATTGAACAGTAATGGTTGACTGGAAAATTCTATTCTCAACGATGCAGCAAGGAATATCCTTTTCAAGGACTGTGAGATCTTTCTTTTAGTAATATCTAAAGCTAAGTCAAATTGGAATTCCAAGCTGATGTACACTATTTTCTTGGTTACGGATAATAAGTCACATTTTATAGTTGTTTACTGTATATTGTTGTCTATGAAACGTGGTGGGAATACATTTTCGATTAGGATTCTCCCATAAAGATTTAACTCTTCCTCCACACTATCAATATACATTGGGTTAGGAGCCCAGTACATTAATTACACCACACAAATATATTTCACTTATAATTACGCAATACTGGATGCATCAATATCTAATGTTGTAGCCTGGATAACAGCGCAGTAACTTTAAATAGCATGCTGACAGTATCTGAATTACTATGAAGTGAGTCATGAAGAAGTTATCTGCAAACTATATGGTGACGAGGGCTGTTTATAAAAATTTAAGCACTGGGCTTTAGAACCCCACTCCAGCTAATTCAATCTACATAACAGAATGGTGTTACAAGTCTCCGCTTCACATTAAGTGACGATTACTCACAACAGACTGGGTGAAAATGAGATCTGTGTCTGGATAGCAGAGTTCGATTTGTATACTAGCATATTACTAGTGTAGATTTTGAAAAAATTTACGTAAACACATACAAAATATGAAAAATAAATGACAACTAGAAAAAAAGAAAAAAAAAGCGGTAGTGGGTACTGCAAAATAAAAATAACAATACCTTCCAATATTCTATACACTGTGACATAAATGCATAGGATGGGAAAAATATTAGTAGACCAGCAGGAACAGATTGAGCCAATTGAACTGCATTGGTTGTACATTTGTTTTGTTTAATCATACAAAGGTCATAGAAGCAATACAGGAAAATGACGGAAAAGAAAAAAAAGAAAGTCAACAGCTACATCGACCGAATAATGAAGTATTACTCTGCATCAAATGAGAAAGTTATCAACACTGTATGCGCGCTCTTATCAACCGCATGTATAACTAACAAGGGGGAGGGGGCGAAAATCAATCGGCCAACAAATATGCAGGAGAAAATAAGGAAGAACAGGACACACATATACACACGCTGAGGAGACTTTCACGTGATATTACACGCCAAGACTTTGAGTGAAACGAATACACTATCAGATGGGTTGGGCATGATGAAGGTGACATGGTGGAGATTATGTGAGGGTAATAATGAAGGTTTACAGGTAGTTGTGAAGCCATTCGAAAATGTGATAACAGGGAATTGAGAGGGACGAAAATGTGAGGCTGAAGACCTATGGTTTCATTTGGAATACAAGAAACAAAGAGTTATAATCATAATCAGCTTGAATATTCATAGGCAGTTGGAAGTGTTATTTATTTGTTTTGCAATCTGCAGTCAGCTTAAGCTGGAGCAGGATAAGATTGGAGAAAAAGCGAAAGATGTCCAGCTGCGAGATCTTTTTCCATTTATTGATTTCCATGCTATTGGAATCCGGTAAAACTCGAGTGGAACATCACTTAAAAATAACAGATTTATAATGTGGAACTAGAAAGATATGAAAAAACTTAAAATCTCTGCAATTACAGTGTTGTCTTCTAAATCTAAGTAAGATGGTCTGCGAAAAATATATTACAAATATCATTCCTTTATTGTGCATTGGTGGATCAGAGATAGGATGGTCGCCAATCGCGCCTAACGTGGTCCGGGGTTCGATGCTCGGTCGATGTACTCCTAAACCTCTCTGAGCTGGTGGTAAGCCCGGTAAAGAGGGCAGGTTGGGCGTGAGGATAACAACTTCACGCCATAAAAATAAAAGACAACTCACTGCTACTGAAACTTCAAAGCACCAACCTGAAGCCCTATTTTCAAGATGCATTTCCAACAAAGGAAACGTATTCGGTAGGTGAATCTGTAAACCCTGTCGCCTAGGGTAATTGACACCAATGATAATCATCACTAGAAAAGTGATAATTAGCAAATACGAGAAGTTAAACCCGATTTCAAGAATCTTAAGATGGAGCTGACCGACAGTTATTCAGAAACAAGTCAATCTTATTAATCAATCAATCACACACATTCAATTAGTTGCATTCAATTATACGGGTGCACAAAAAATTTCTGTGTAATTCAATTACCCAGAATATGTAACAGGAGATGAGCTGAACTCATTGTGAGAACGTTGACAGTACTACTCAACTGTTCAGAATGAAGTAGCCGGGGCAAAGTTCTAACTCAGGATAAACTGGTTGAAAATCGAGTTCTTAAGACAATCAACCACAACTTCACCGACGATTTATAACCAGACAAAATGACTAAAGTTAAGAATTCATGCAATAATTTGACATCAGGAGGGGTAACATGAGTTAATTTCCTCCATAAGTGTCCATAGAGCTGGAAAATACTTCATTCCTTCATGAAATACCGATAAATTCTCTTAGGCGAGTGATGACAATTTTAATATTAACCCCATCCAACTAATGAAGTTTCTGTAGCAATGGGTTTAGTTCTACGGGATAGGATTGCCAGCTTCATACCTAACCTTCCTTATTTGCCGGGCTAACCAACGTTCAGTGAGGTTTAGGAGCCCGCTGGTCAGGGATCGAATCCCGGACTATGTGCGTGATTGGAAAACATTATCCCGATGAACCACAGACGCATATATATATATATATATATATATATATATATATATATATACTGTTGAAATGATCCTAAACGTACCTAACAAGAGACCTAATGAATTACGATAAGCCGACGTCTCTCGTACAGAATAACTTGCATTCAATTTTTCTCCATCTGGCCCACGTGGTATCACTGATAAATGCAGTTGATCTGAATTGATGACATGTGGATTTTGTAGGGTTATGGGGAATTTCCTAGATAAAAAAGAGATAATTATTATAAACATTACTCATGAATACGGATAGGAATGGGACTATAACGCATAAAGGTCAAGTTGAATGACATTACGTGCATGATATAATCCCGCTGAACCGGAGATTGGAGGGATAGTATCTCCGTAGGATAACTGATACTTTCAGCTTCTGATGACAGTCTGTTTGATGATGAATACGTGTTATAACGTAATAAAACCTTAAGAAGTAGCGGCATCACATGCCTCACTTTGTGATTATATATAACTATGATATATTGAACACAATGCAATCGTGATTCAGAGATTTCGATAAACATTGAGGGCTGGGCAGCTGATCTGCTATTATTCGGTTACTAATTTGTAAACAGAAATAGGATTAAATTTGGTGTTGAGCGTGCCAAGCCTGGGTGTAAGAAAGTACACAAGTTCCTTAAACACCAAAGAACATCGTCAGCAAGCACGAAATATGCATAAAGATGAGCAAATGTGGGGCATAGGTTACTGGTTGTTTTCACTTCTATGTGCACTAAACATTTCAAAAGCTCTTTTAGAATTGATTCTAAACGAGTTCTTCAGATATATACCGATAAATATAATCTGCTTTTTCTCGTCAAAGGTTAACGTCAGATGACAACAATACAACCCATCTCTAAATGTCTTAAGAAGCTACAAAATCCAGTTCCCTCTGATTAATGTTGTATAGTAATTTACAGTTTGCAACGACAGAAGACAAGGGCCACGTAACATATCGTTTATTGAGAAAGTCAACAGATATTTATAGATTTTTTATGTACATTATTATAGGTTATTGTTAGCAGAGAAATAGCGTCTTCTAACTGGTTGTTTTCTCGCTGAAAGTTAATCTGCCATCTCTTTGTGGCCGTATCTTTGAAGGTCAGAGCATATATCTGCGAATCGTATCCGCCGACGCAAAGTCTGTCCTGACTGGCTGTTGAGTTAGTCTTTGTTCTTGTTCTTTTCTCATGACCAAGATTTGGGAAGTAAACACTGACGTAAATAGCTGTCTACCAATTTAGCTAACGGACAGTTCTCACTACAAATCAATCTAAGGGCCTAAGTTCCCGTCATCCATATTAGCTAGACATGAACAAACTCATGGTGAATCCATGATTTAAAACGGCAGAATTTCGGCTAGTGATGCCTATCGAGTAATCTAATCTGAACTAGGGAGACTAAAGGTCTCAAGAATTTAACTCAGAAGACGAATTCAAGTGACCGTGAATTCCATTGCATAAAGCTGAATTACTAACAGGAGATGGTTAAAGATGGTAAGGTTTACAAACTAGGAGAAAGGAAGAAAATTTAGAAGACACTGAAGAAGATGGTTGTTGGTCACAAGAAGTTATATCATGCTATCTATGCCATGAACGTTTATCTAGTTTCAGAGTTCGTAAAGGATAAAAAGGACTGGTTTTTCGTGACCATTTCTGTGACAGTATGCTGTTTACGACCATCCGTCGTTTGCCATTCATTCTTGCAGTCTTTACGCCCATTCCCTCTAGGATTACAACTCCGACAGATAAGAAGAATAAACATAGACTATGATCATAATAGTTCTTCGCTGGTTGTATAATTCCATATTTTCACAGACACAGTAATCCGCATAAAATAACACTTACATATTTAACTCAGCCTCCAATGGTTCAATTGGATAAAGAGTACCACTAGTTAGTATGATACAGCGTACTTTTTGCCGAATCAATTCTTGTATTGCACTAGAAATGAAATACAAATGAAATACAGACGAATTTGAATAAGTACTGAGAAAAACAACGGTGTTTAGGCGTTAGAAACTATTCTATCAAAGTAATACCACAAAAATAAAGCATAGTTAAGACTTTAGCTTGTTGAGATTACGGAAGATATAAAGGGAGATTTCACTTTAAATAATGACGTGAGTTCCACGAATCAGTGAATAACACTTTAAATGCAGTATTAACGTCAACCTTATGCTCACTATCTACAAGGTGGGCTAAAATAGAGCTACGAATAGATCTTGTTTGTTCCTTGCTTAACCATGCCGGATGATGTTCGGAAATACGATGATGAACCTGCCTAATTGTTCGCCCGATGGGTTCCCCATTAGGCCCAATCCTAGCTGATTTTTTCTTCCCTAAGTTAGAAAATGGACCACTGAAAGGAGTAATTAGTGACTTGGATTTCTACTGTCGATATATGGATGATACATTTCTGGTCATAAAAAATAAGGACGATGCAATGAACATCCTTGACAAGTTTATTGATGCACATTCAGCAATAAACTTTACCATAGAGAAAGAAAGTAATGACAGTATCTAATTCCTAGACGTCTTCATGGCAAGGAAAGAAGATGGCACACTAGGAAGGAGTGTGTACAGGAAACCTACTACAACAGGTCAGTACACTCATTTTTTGAGTTTTGTACCTTTGAAATATAAACGTAACCTGGTAAAGTGTCTGGTTCATAGAGCTAAGTTAATCTGTTCAGACGACTGCTTCAATGAGGAGCTTGAGATTATTAGAGAATTGCTTAGAAAAAATGGTTATCCAGATAAGTTTATTGAGAAAAATATAAATTCATCACCTAGGACAGTCACTATGGCAACAGTTCCGAAAAAACCACTGTTCATAAAACTCCAGTTCCTCGGTGACAACATCAGCGAAATAATAACACAACGACTGAAGAATGCAGTTAAAAGAGCTTATTATGAAGCAGAGGTACGTTGTCTCTTCACAACCACACCTATCCTACGTTCGAGTAATAAGGATAAACTACCTAGATTCGCCTCTTCTATGTGTATCTACCAGTTTGACTGCAGCTGCGGAGCCAGCTACATCGGGCGAACAATTAGGCAGGTTCATCATCGTATTTCCGAACATCATCCGGCATGGTTAAGCAAGGAACAAACAAGATCTATTCGTAGCTCTATTTTAGCCCACCTTGTAGACAGTGAATAACACTTTTATCCTAATTTGGGTCGTTTTGTCTGTAAGTACAGATAGACTAAAGTGACTCAGTATATGAGTAGTAACATGTTCGTATGGGCACTATATATAAGAGTTGCAAACTAAAACAACAAAGCTGTCCACTGTTTCTTGGTTCCTAATGATTTTTTTTAAAGTTGATAATTATTGTTAAAACACGAACCTGATACATTATGGTTATCAAGAGATGCACAAGACAAAATCTCATAGTTTGTGAGCCAACTAGGATACTGTCTGTAGGCCTAGACAGGATAAGGTGGTTATCCTAAGGAGCCATCCTCATAGCCTTTGACTTGAAGTCTGATCTTCAAGGTAGCAGGGCAGCACAAGAAGCCCGTTCCCGTGGCTGCTGGTGATCAAAATAAGTTTATACGCCAATCTATTCTCTGTGATTCTGGAGCCCATGTATACCTCAGGTACTGAATCAGGTTTTTCCAACACCCCTAGGTAAACCAGCATGTTGACCAGTACGGTGCTCAGTGCCAAATATTCGCATTCACCTTTCCCTTTTGTGGGCAACGCAACCGCCGCGTGAAGGCAGTGAACTAGACGTACCTCGAACAGGCTATGAACGCGTGGCTACATGAGAACATTTCTAGAGGAAGACCAAAATCTATTCACCGCCGGCTGTATTAAGTCGTTAAGTGATGATACAGATTAGAGAGTAAATTCGCCTAGAAGTTACAGTTCACTAGAATTTATCTACATATACAAAAACACAACTTACTGCAATATTTACGCCTGAGTGGCTTAACTTCAACCATACAGGTTAGCAAACACCATCCCACACACCTTCAAGAAGCTTCAGGATGACAAAAAACTTTACCAATTATAAACAGATGTATATATTGAGACACTAGCTTCTTAAAGCTTGATGAAATTCTTCAGTTTAATCTTTTTTTTATTATAGCTTGATTCCACACAGTATTTTTGGTACTAGTATGGAATTTTCAGCATATGATATCATGTAGCCCAAATTTTGCAAGCCGACTAATTGATATTAGGTGTGCGTCGGCGGGGAATCTAACTCCGGACCATATGGATGGTCGACGAGAGTCCTAACCACTGTGCCACCGACGAACAATAAAATGAAAAACAAACGAGAATGAAAATTTAGTATTTCGACAACTTATTGAGTCATTCTTCAATCAGTTAGGTCTTTTTTCAGAATTACGCAATGTAGTAATGTGGTTGATTGGACTCAATACTCACTTTTACACCATACACCGTGCTTTAGTTTCATCTGTTCCATCAGTTAGGTAGTATTGTAAGCCGTCACATTGCAAGTGTGTCTTACGGTACAGAAGCGTAAAAACACTCCTTGGATTCCAAGTGCAAAGCATTACTTCAATCGATGATTTCGCTTTCTACTGGGGTGCGGGTGGAGGCGTCGCTAGACTCACTACTAACCAAATCTTTCTTCTTTTCGGTAATTACTAAATGCTAGGCGCCTATTGAGAACGGAATCAGGACCTTTCGCATGACTTTAGAGCATCTTACTATTCACCTAGTGATGCACAAAACATGAAATTCACTCATCAACTGGACGCTTAAAAGATTATTAGGTCAAACTGTCACATAAAACAAAGTACACTCACCGTCCAGGACTGAAACACCAATAACTAATAGTACGATTTGTTGCACCAGTGTCAGTAGCAGACTGTTTAACAGCATCTCGAGTATCCCAAATATTATTTGTTGTAAATTTGTTTTTAACTGAAGGTAGAATATCATCTTTAATATGCAAACGATAACAATTAATTGATTCATCATGTTGTAATTTGAATTGTGTTTTAAAATTGAAGGATACATTTGCTTCCCCCGGAAGGTAACCAAAAACAGTCTGAAAATTGTTTATAAAAACAACAAACAAACACCAGTTGAGAGTTCAGACAATCAGTGAAAACTAACTGAATGTTTATTGCCAGTCTGCGTATTATTATTTTATTAATGGTAGCTAGAAGTGGGATTAAGGATACACGCGCATATCTCCTGATTTTCGGACTCGTCAGCTGGATGTATCTGTATCTGTATAAGGTGAGACTGTACTCCACTCCTCATCCTCGATTCCACTGCTGGACACCATCAACCATCACAACATCATGTTTACCTTCAGACAACTTCACAGCGTCCATAACAAGAGCTGACATGTTAAAAGAAGTCGAGTATTTAAGTTCAGGAAATACAACATAACTAACAATAATTTCCCTTGATAAACTTGAACGAAGCAAGAAGAAAAAATTGAAGAGGATAAACTAATGTCACTATACTTCGCTGGTTTTTTAGAACTGAACTGATGAACATGGAATTTCAAATGAAATACGAGCAAAATGGAAATTTTCACTTTCTGAATGATTGGTTGGTTTCACAGTAGAACTTCGCATCAATGTGCAGCAGTTCAAGTTGCCACACTTCACACAGCACACAAAACAAGAGAAGAGAGTAAAAACAGATTCAAAACAGAGATCATAAACATAAATATGAGGCAAAAAGAATAGTAGTGTGGAAGAACAATATAGTTTTATTGGATATTATAAGTCACAAGGACTTATACAAACTAAAGATGGAAGTATACAAAGTTATATTCAGTCAGATTACTCTGGAATGGACTGTGTCTAACTTTGAACAATTTTGTCCAATAAACTACAAGAAGGTTCTGGTTATGACATTGTTCTACTGCACCGAAAATACCTTTTTTCGAAAGAAAGACCCAGTGATGAACGTGTCATGATTAAAGTGTTGACGACACAAAAGAAGTCCTCGGAAATTCTATTGATCAACATAAGAAAATACCAAATATAAAAGTAGAATTTCATTTAGTTGAGAAGAAACTAGTATTCATAAAACTTCGATTCAAAAGTGATGAATTATCTGAAAGAATTCAATACAAATAAATGATTTAATTGAATTTGAGATTTTCCCGTCGATTGATTGGACCGAAGTGCTCGGTCTCAGGTTGACTTGTCGGCTGCTTGTGCAGATGCTTTGACAATGTCTGGGAATTTAATTGGATTTTAATTTGTGGATGGTAGCTAGCAGTGGAATCCAGGATGCGCATTTCGTCCTATTTGGGACTCGTCATATGGATGTGCCTGCATTCCCCAGTGAGTGATAATATTCTCACCGAGGCTCAAACCCAGTGCCCAAAGTTTCAGACGCCAAGGCGTTATCCACTAGACCACTTGGGCCATAAGAGCCAGCTCTTGTGCAACAGGTCGATTGATTGGACTGAAGTGCTCGGTCTCAGGTTGAGATATCGGCTTCTCGTGCAGATGCTTCGACGATGTCTGGGCACTGCTAGCCGCCATCCACAAATTACATTCTAATTAAATGCCCAGACATCGTCGAAGCATCTGCACAAGAAGCCGACATGTCAACCTGAGATCGAGCACTTCGGTCCAATCAATCGACGGGAAAATCAAAAATTCAATTCAATAATTAATATGACCCGTTGCACAAGAGGTGGCTCTCGTGGCCCAGGTGGTCTAGTGGATAACGCTTTGGCGTTTGAAACTATAGGGACTGGGTTCGAACCTCGGTGGGAACACCCCCACTCACTGGGAAATGCAGGCACATCCAGTGACGAGTCCCAAATGGGACGAAAGGTGCATCCTGGATTCCACTGCTAGCCATCATCCACAAATTAAATAAATGAATGATGCTTTCAAGCGAAGTAATCTAGCAGACAGACTAGTCAGCATTTACAGGATAAAATTCTCACCAAGACAATCTAAGGTTGACAAGTTTTCTTCTTGTGTTATCTTCAACTGCATTTACTAATAAACATGCACGTGCCAAAACATATATATCGGACGAACATAAGGAACGACTTTTGACTGTATATCTGAGTACATTTCAAGAAATTCGCTACTGAAAGGCGCTAAGTACTGGTAAAGCGGTAGGTATTAAAATGAATTTATATATATATATATATATATATATATATCATAAGAATGAAGTTCCGCGTAGAAGAACTGTTGTTGGGGATAGCAACACTAAAAATAAGATATTGTTTAGATGGTTAGATAAGTCAGTGACAACCGCGTAACCAGAAGTGTCAAAATACAGTGAGTAAGAGTCAGGCGATCAAAAACTGATGTGTAAGAGGTTCAGGGGAAAGACGACGATAGAATACAATGACGCTCTTACAACATTCCCTAGTGTGAAGGACTGCTTCCTGCTGATAAACCAAAATATGCAAAAATTAAATTGTAACTCATTTTCTCAAGCGTTTCAAGTTGTACGCAGTTGAAGAGGACCTACGACATAAAAAGGATCCATGTCACTCCGTATCAATGCTCCTATTTCCTCTTTTTAAATTTACAAGGGGTAATTTGTGTATGAGACAATCAACAACATAGTAGTCTGAGTTACGTTGTGGGACACAGTGATTCTTTGTAGGTTATGCAAACCACTATCAGGTGAATTGAGGTTGGTCGTTTTTCAAACCAATGGGTCGTAGTTCCAAATACAGAAAAAAAAACGAAAATAGTTGAGTAGTGATCAGTTTGAATTATTCAACAACTCTGAGAGGCATCAAAAGCATCTTAGCTACAAGCCAAAAGTCATACCCACCTAGTGAACGACTGTTTAATAGAGCCAACATGTTCTGTCTACATTATCTAAACACGAGGACAGAATTTAGGCTGGTGATCTTTGCATTACCATTAACTCAAGTATTTAAATCCATCCAATTATTTCACTTACTTTGAGGAATTCACCAACTTCATGTAAACCTTTAGTTTTTCGAACTTTTACATCTAATCAAGAAGTGAAAACAAAAGAGAAAAATATTATTGGTTATGGAGAATTTGTGAAGATGATAGCACAGTTTCACGGTAAATTTTGTGGAAAACCAACACAATGGAAAGAGCATTGCATAGCTGTTTCGTTCCAATTGGAAACTTATCAGCAGTATGTAATACATACAACTCTAAGGAGAATTGAGCATAGGGTGACTCAATTGTGGAGTGGATACATCATATCAACTAGCCTGGTGATCTGGTGACTCTAAGCTATAGGGACTAGCGTGGGCACACCTGAAGAATCGAAAGTACACGAAGCAACAATCAAATGTTTCTGGTTTTTCAATGATTTCTTTTTTAACTGACTTCCATTCGACACAAGTCCTAATCCGTATAAATACTACATACAAAGACAATTTCGGTGAAATTGAAATATGTCATCTAACGCTTTGCAATTTATTAGTCAAATAGAGATAAGCAAAGTTAACGATAACACTTTCACGTCAAAATGATATTTTTCAGTAATACATACTTTATAAAAATAAACTTCAAATGTAATTTCGTTGAGGGTGACCGGTGGATAACTCTTTGGTGTTTAAAACGAAGCGTACGGGGCTAGAGTCTCATTGTGGTAACAACATCATTCACTGAATATCCAGGCACATCCAGGTGACGAGTCGCAAAAAGGACGGGGAGTGTGTCCTGCATTTTACTGCCAGTCACTATTCCCCAAATTACCTCATGTTAATTTCAAGAAATCGTCGAAGCATCCGCACTAAGAGTTGACATGTCACCAGAGACCGAACACATTTCAGTCCAATCAATCAACAGGAAAATCAAAATGGAATTGAACAAATAACAAATTTCAAAGGTTCAATGATACCATTTTTAGTCAACAAGTAGATTTAAAAAATAATTTTATTATTTCATCAACATTCTGGCAGTCTTCAGAACTTTACAGGCTAACCAAAATAAAAGCAACCAGTCAGAATCGTTTGGTAAACTGTTAGATTAATCGTCAGATTACACAATACGCAATAACAACAAAAAAATAGTTTAGAATTGTAGGGAACATGGTGATGCAAATGCATTTATTCTATTCCGAATTGTTTTTTTTTTTTTTTTATTTACAGCTTGATTCCACACTGTATTTTTGGTACAAGTATGGAATTTTCAGCATGGATATCGGTAGCCCAAATTTTGCAGGCCGACCATAGATATCAGGTGTGCAATAGCCTGTTGGAAATACTTCTCATAACACGCCACGTCTTTCAGTCCTATAGAACAATTGACTTCATATTGATCTTCGAAATTCCAATCTTATTCCTTGTGTTAAATAATGAGATCTCCACATTGATTTCAAAGCAACGAGTGCCCATCTTGTTTTCCTGAGCTTGACATCCACATCTGTGCCATCTGTGGTTGAAACAATGCCATTGGTGATTCGTGCTTGTTGTTGATCGGGTATCTTCATCACCTTTTTTACCTTCACCTGAAGTCCTGACTTCTGTGCCTTTCCTGTCAACTTATTGGATTTAGCTTATATATATATACGATTCTGTGCTACATGATCCACAGATTATCGGCAAAATCTAGATCTTTTAACGTCTTTTTGTCGATCAAGGTATGCTACTATTTCCACCCCAGGAGTCTACCACATGATCTAGTCTACCATACATCGGTCAGTTATAAAAAACAATTTCACATTGTCTGTTCTCAAGTACTGACTGAATTCTATCGATAAATTTTGAAAATTGGTCATCAAACTAAGCAGGTGACCATTGTGATGCAAGCAAAATTAATTTTAGAAGGTTAGAGCTAGATGAAATTAAGTTTCATATTAGTTGACCAAATGGTTAGGAAGTTAATTGCCTATGTAATCCATCATAGACATAACCTACGAATCCTGCATCTTCAATTAAAGTATGAAAAAAAATACATACATAAATCCTACAACTGCACACTTCTAATTAGATTTAGTATAGAGTACCCCATTTGATTATGCATAAAGATTAGTCAGTGAAGAATATTTCAACAACGTGTACGGGATAACTCACCGAAAATAACCTCATTTACAATAAAAAATTAAAATGGAGAACAATTGAAAGGTTTCCATTAAGGTAGACAAGGAAAGACATTTACAGAAGTTAATCTTTTCAACGACATATCATTCTCAAATAGCAAGATTACATGTATATATGACATTCACTAGTCAACGCATGTAGTGAGAGCTGTTTGTTAGTCAAAATGTTTGTGTGAGACAGTAAAGACAATTAAACAAAGAATAATGAAGACATTGACATTTTTAATAATAATAATAATAACAGTAGAGCTTTATTTAAGACAGTATGCGAATATACGGTACAAAATTTTCAGCGTATTCAGTTCCAAAGTACTTTTTTCTTCACACAGGATTCACATGTAAATTAATAATCTGAAGTATATCTTTATTTAGTTCAAGAGTTGTACAGCGTTTACTTGGGAGCAAGTTATATCATCGCACAAGTTTATGTATAGGTCATTTGATATAACTGGACGATTAAAACAATGATAAATCCAGATGAAATTAAGCATTTGGAGGAAAGTAATTTCGGTAGTCCAATGATTTAAGCAGACAGCCTTAACCCCAAGGGTCAAATAAATTTCTGTCATTGTCAAATCCCCTACATGACACAGATAAATATTCAGTCACATCATGGATTCATGTTGTAACAACAGAAGACAAGGGCCAGGTAACAGATCACTAGTCAAAGCATGTGGCAAGATCTGGCTGTTAGTCAAAATTGATGGACAGTATTTTACGTCAGTATTTATTTCCCCAATATTGATTGGTCGTGAGAAAAATGAGAACAAAGGCTTTGCGTAGGCGGATACAGTTAATGTATAGATGATCTGACATTCTAAAAACAGCCACAAAGAAATGCAAGATTAACTTTCTGTAAGAAACAACCAATCAGAGGACTGTGTTTTTCTGCTAACAATAATCTATAATAATGTACCTGAAAATCTACAAATATGTGTTGATATCCTTAATAAACGATCTGTTGCCTGGCCCTTGTCTTCTGTTGTTACAACATGAATCCATGTGATTGAATACTTATCTGTGTCATGTAGGGGATTCGACAATGACAGAAATTTATTTGACCTTTGGGGTTAAAAATGTCAATGTCTTCATTATTCTTTGTTTAATTGTCTTTACTGGCTCACACAAACATTTTCGAATTTTATATATGTTTGGCGAAATGTAGTAGTAACCTTACTTGATGTGTATTGTTATACTTGAATTTCTTAATCAGTTAACTGACTTTTAATAGTCAGAAACCATTATGATATGTTGATATTTATTTATTATCTCCTATGTTATTGCATCATCAACTTGGTAAGGGAATGGTCTTCATCAATCATTTGTATAACTTAGAAGACTCCTTTACATAAATTATTTCCTACTTCTTTGAATGCTAATTAGTGGTGAATTTTAGTTTAAGTATCATCGGAAGCATTTCTATGCGTATAACAACAGAAGACAAGGGCCAGACATTTTTTTCCTTCTCGTTCCCAATGGAACATAAGGCCTCAAGCTAGTGGCTTGAAGTTTCTGCAGCAGTGTTTAATTTTACTGAGTAATTAGCGAAATAAATGAGCCTTTAATCTCCTCCTACCTGTAATATATTGTGACACTATTTCAATTTTTCTTATAATTTTAGTTATTAACACTATTATTATTATTAGTATTTTACACTTTTTGTACATTTTTTGACTTTACTACCACTGTTAATGCTAACAAGTTGTTATTATCAATTTTGGTTACCTATACCATTCACTGCATACTGAAGGTTAAATGGCCAGCAAGAAAGAATTGTCAACAAGCAATTCTGGCAACAAACTAACCAAGAGCCGATCGCTCAACAAATATTTAGGAGATCACGCACATGTTGAGGCGGCTTTCGAATGACGTTGCGCTCAATGCAAGCCATCACTCGAGTGGGATCCCAGTGGGAAGCAACGAGTGGGACATCGAAGCGAGGGTGACATGGAGGAGATCGTGAGATGCGAATAGGAGATGAGAGATTATCGTCAATCGTGAAGCTAGCCAGCTGAAGAGGACAGCAGAAAATAGAACAAAGTAGAGATGTGTTTCTGAGGCTCAACGGTTCACCCGGAACCCAAAGAAATAATAATCCCCTGTAATTTCTTTGTTATTGAGTAAATTAGATGCAATATTGTACCAAACGCTGAAAATTCCACGTTGCAACATAAATACTGTTTTGGAATAAAGCAAATCAGTATATATATATATATATATATATACAACCTGGGCATTCTATGACTAATATTACATCTGCTCCTTTTCTCATAGCCTTTTCAACTTTTAATTTCAATGCGCATTGTTTTGATTTTGTTTAGCTTCATCTTCGCTTTAAGCACATCACAACTTGACTTAGTAGGCTAATTCCACTTAAGATTAAACAAGTTTTAATACGGTTGGTATCCTTAGAATAACAAAATTTCATTCCTTATTTTCCAAGACTTATATTAGTACCGAAATTTCGCTAAGATACCCTAAGGGATATTCTTTTAACTACTGTCACTTAGATGTATGTATGCAACAGAATGAAGTTTTAGAGTAGAATGAAAACTTCAGTCACAGGGTTCTTGGGGGGGGGGTTGTCGTAAAAATATCCTGCTCTTGAAAGTTCAATATTTGAAAGGCTAGCTGTCTTTGACCACAGATTTAAGCATTTTAACTCTCTCCTTAAACGGTGCGTAATGAAGTTATGCATCAAGTATGTGTTAGGTAGGGAGGCTAAATCAATCGATGAAGTTGTGCTGCTAGCTATATCGAGTGAGATGCCTAAGACACGTGTTGTACATGCCCAACGACAATGCCTTGCACGACAAACAATATTAGTTGACATAGGATCACGTTGGAAAAGGATTAAGGGTAGTTAAACCAAAACTTGGCATCATTAATCCATGAAGTCTTCCGTAGTCCCACCATTAAGGTCAATGAATGCAGTCACAAACTAAATCTTAAATTCACCTTCGTCAATCTAGGGCTTTGCTCAGCTATTCAAAATGTTGTACCCAATGCTCAACCAAATCACCTCAACTAAATTATAATGAAAGTGAATGAGTCAAGAGAAGTTGATAATCAATAGTAAGTGATACCATTTTTAACACAATGCAGTCAACGTAGTCAATTATGCTTCTTAAGAAATGCTGAGGGCTAAACAGAATAACACACTACACTAAATATCTCCTCTTTTCAATGACAAAATGAAAATGCAACAAAATAATAAATGATAATAATTACTTTGTGTAGAATTTGTGTATGAAATAATTTCATCGATCACAGTTTGTATTGTATTATTTGTCCAGTGATTAATTCCTGCTCGACCAAGTAGATCGAAAATAAAACTAGACAGAGAGAAAAAGAGAAAAAAAAGAGCAGACAAGTGGTGATTTTCGTAGAACAACAGAGAAATGAAATTAAAAGACTGATTATGGAGCAAAGAATATTCACATTTTCGATAACCCCTTCTTTATCAACTTCTACAGCTATAAGCATTCATAATAACGAAAGGATTAGGGTTATTAACAACATTATTGTTCAAATAACATTGAGTTAACCAATAATATCAATAGATTACAGTTTAGTAGCATCTGTAAGCGTGATAATATGCATCAATCATAACACTACACGCTGAGTATCACACAAGCATATCAGGAAAAGCAATAATATAGAATTCATGAGTTTATAGGCTCCATGGAAGGCCAGAGCAGTAGTAGTGACTGTGTAGGCTTGTTTCTTCTACACACAGAGCACTGGTTGTTTTAGACGGAGCACAATAGTCTTTGCTGTTTGAAGTCTTCAGTATACGGATGTTTTCGGCAATTTATTTGATAACCGATAGATGATGGAGAAGGATTCTTTGATGCTGGATTCTGCAGAGCCTATAAATTCATGAATTCAGTATTATTGCTTTTCCTAATATGCCTGTGTGATAATCAGCATGTGGTGTTATGTTGATGCATATTATCAGGCTCACAGATGCTACTGAACTGTAATCCACTGATATTACTATTGATTCGATGTTATTAACAGCATTAATGTTGTTAATAACACTAATTCATTCATTCACTATAATGCATATATAACTGTAGAACCTGATAAAGAAGGGGTTATCGAGAAGAATACTCTTTGTTTAGTAATCAGTCTTTTGAAATTTCTTATGGGCATTTTAGACCAATTGAAATTAAATTAATATTAAAATATTGTTTAATATACTTCCACAGACGAATTGATTGTGTCACGGGTGGCGGGAGGAACGTCAACAAGGGGTGTTGCAACTTCTGGACGTCTTGAGCAAAATACTCGGCATATTTGACACATGTTCCACTCATCTTAAATATGAAATAGTAAGTTATAATTCATGGGCCATTGGATTGGGTCCCAGTGGCTTAATGGTATACGAGCTCGCCTTGTAACCAGAAGGTCCTGGGTTCGAATCCCGGTGGGTGCGCACTACTGAAGAGTCCTAAACTAGGATGAAACAGCTGCCCAGTACTCTCAGGTTTTCCAATGGTTCTCTAACTGATGTCAGCTCATGATGAAATCCTGTAACCAAATAATAATCTTCCAAAATATTGTATAACTTATAATAGCCCGTTTGCTTGACATTACAAAATTGGGTAGAGGTGTATTAATTAGCATCTACTGTTTCTAATGTCAGTAAATCACTGATTATGATATCAAGCAGCAATTTTTCCAGTTTCATCTTATAGTTGTAGCATCAGATTCTGATTAAAAATAATGACACTAGGTTTTTCGAGACATATGATTGATGGCTATAATCAACTCTTTTTCAAATGTCTTTACTTTCTCAGTGGAACGTAGGGCTTCAAGCTAGAGGCTTGAAGTTTAGGCAACAGTGGTGTTTATTTCTACAAGATAGGTTTGCTAGCCTCACGACTAACCTTCGCTCTTTACCCATCTTGTTATCGCCTTAGTGAGGTAAAGGAGTGTGTGGGCTGGGCATCGAATACCAGACCACGTGAGGTTTGGTTGGTAAGCATTCTACCGCTGAGCCATTGACACACCATAATGAGCTTTAGGCACGCATATAATGGATATGTCGACGAATGTAGCTACATGTTGAAGATAAGTGAGTGAATGTCTAAGGAAGAATGAATGTCCTAAACAATTTGTAGAGAAGTACTGAAAACTTGGCAGAAGGAAAGCATAGTGCAGTATCACCGAGAAGAAAACAGCGTTCCTTAATGTAAGATTCAATAGTAATGAAATTGGAGAAAGAAATTTCAGACAACTGATCCACTTGTATACAACACAGCTCAAAACAGACTAATTTTCGACTCTCGTTAACTAGATCTGTTTACGTATTGACATGTACATGAAGCGGTAGCAAGTAAGAAGAACTGAAAGACAGTTGTCTACCAGGAATGCTGATCATGTGATCAAGTGTCGATATCTAAGAAGTTCAGCTTCGTTTAATTCATTCATAACTCAGCACTGAGGTTAATACAAGCCACCAGATCAACACAGTGGGTTCTTTTTAAGTGGTTAACAGATAAAGCACTTCATGATTGCTTCAGATCGTTGAAGTTCAAGTCGTACACAGAGTGAAAACTGAATTATGTGTGCAAAACGACACTGTCACTAACTTACTGCTACTTTGGTAAGCACTGGTTTTTCCTATACTGACACACTGAAATTTTATTCCATTTATATGACGTAATCTCACATTCGCATCTTACCTTTAAAGTCTTCGACCACTTTCATTTTGTTTGAATAACCACTGATATGTGAATCACTGTTAAATTGCATAAGATTTTTCTCTCAACGGCATATAATGTCTATATTTTAGCGATAACTGATTATTCTAACTTCCTGTATAATTTTGTGTCATGTTTTCGTTTTCGGCTTACAATTCTACTCTTATAAAATGAATCGTCTGTTCAATTAAAGTATGTCTAAGTTGTGTGACAATTATTGTTTACATATAATCAATTAATTATCCAAGTTGAATAGTGCTGATGAAAACTCATCCATATTCAACTATTTTGATGTAATTTGATTGTAGGTAGAATCAAAGGCCCCCAAGGAAGGCACAAAGAAAACCGCCCTACCATATATCAAAGACATCTCATAAATCACTGCAAGACCCTTCAAACCTTTAGGAATTGATGTCTCACACAAACCAACAAAATCACTTCACTCAACCAGCCAGTTGTGTGTCAACCGAAAGACTCAACAACGAAAGAAGATAAAACCAACATCATCTACAAAATAAATTGTAACAAATGCGAAAAACACTACATTGACCAAAATGGACATCCTCTTCGTCTTCTCATCCATGAACATAAATTAGCCGTCAAAAGACTTGACATTCACTCCTTCATATCGCTGCATACAGACAACCACAGACATCAATTCGATTGGGACAGAGTTAAAATATTAAACAGAGGAGACACCAAAAATGCCAGAAGATTTTTAGAAGCCTGGTATTCCAGTGAGTCATCAATTAATAGACACATTGGCATAGACAAAAATCTACCAATCTATAAGAAGGAAATCTCATACACAAAGGGTTAAACTTCGGGTCAAGGAAACAGTCAGTACCAATACAATTAGCCTAGAGGATGTGAAAACACAGAGAAACAACCAATCACGCTCAAGTTCACCAGGATAGATGAATTATAAACTCGTGGAGAAATCTAAAAGCTCACTTCATCAAACTGAAGTATGCACTGAAGATGTTGCCTAGTAGGGCAATGAAAGCTTCGGAAATTAACTATCCAGCTCAGAGAACACAACTACATCAAAATCATCCACTTGAGCTACAAATCTTCTCCATGATATCTATATTCAACCATGTTATTATTGCCAATAAACGCTAGGAAGAAACAAATCTACGCAAAGAACTTGAAACTATGGCTGTCAGCTAGAGACAAAAACCAACCACCGCGCGATCGACACAAGTATAAAGCACATTTAAAAAATCTGTGTATACAAAATAAAGAGTAACCCACCTGCCATCTTTAGTCAGTCCCTCAGGCGGGACATTCAATTCATCAATTAATCTTTCTAGTTCTATTAGTTGTCCTACACATAGATATAGTTAAAGTTAGTTACATAAACAGAACAACGTAATACGCTTACCTTTCAATGTAATCATTTTCTCAATATTCAAGGCTTCAACTAATGAAAAGTAATGAGGAAAGAATTCATTGATACGGAATTAATTTAGACATACTTGCAGTCTCTTTAGGCTGTGTCATATCAAATAATCCTTTTCTGACAACAGTACTGGATGTTGATTGTTTCTGTGTATTGTAACCTGTCTCATCGGTTAATTCTGCTTCTTCACTTTCCATAGTATGATTAAAAACAACTTCACAAACACAACGAACATGTTCAATAGCTGAGGCTAGTAAAGCAGAAGTTAATGTGACTGAAGAAGCATCCTCACAAACTTGTTCCTAAAATTAGGAAATAAAATTCCGTTAATAATCTACCTATTTTTAACCACTTTCGATCCATTACTCATACTTTCAAGTGTTGGTTCGCATGAATTCGATCCATTTCAAGTTAGATCGCAAACTTCATTCAATTTGATCTTAAAGGTGATAATATTGCCGAAAAAGCCAGAGCCTATCCTGCAGCCAACTTGGTCCCCGTCTATCAGACAACATGTTCTTTGGTGCAATCAAAAGTCGATAGATACATTTCTCATGTTAAATCCAAATGTGTATACAAATTTACATCCATTTGTGGGAGCAGTTGCATCGGGAGAACAGAAAGCAGGGTATACTTCCGACTTTCTGAACATGTACCGAAAAGCCTATGTCCTGAGAGAAAAAATTTTTTCAACAATACCACTGCTAGGCTAGCCCCGAAAAATGATGTGTACCTGTTGGCTTTTAATAACAATGATATGAATATAGAATATTATATGTATTATGATACGATGTGGCATCCTTTATTAGCATATGCAGGTTACGTTTCAGTGATAGATCATCATTACGTCATAAGATCACATTGTATGCGTGTTGACATACTTAAGTTCTGTCCAATAATTACACCAAACACATCATTTTGAGAATGCTACTAACTAAACACTCGAAACAGAGATAGAAGTTGACATGCCTAAATTCTCATAAGAAATTTGAATACATATGACCAGAAGGCAAGTTGCACAACGACTTACAATGTTGTGAGCTTCATCAAAAATGACTGCTGTATTCTCAAGATTAATATTATACAAAGTTCGAATCTAAGACAAAAAAGAGAGAAACAGAGAGTAAAACAATAAATAGAATAATTGGTATTGTCATACACTGATTCCCTTTTATAAATTTGAACAAAGAAAGAAGAAACATTTGCGCAGAATAATTTGGATTCATTTTATTTCGTTGGTTCTCATCAGCTGCGTACAACCTTTGTCCATTAGCAAGCATATTGTCAGAGCGTCATAGTAAAATAAGGCGTTGCGATTTACAGGGTGTCTAGAGTGTTACGATATATATATATATATATATATATATATATATATTGCAGGAGAGAAGTTCATTCAAGAAGCTTGATACAGCTACAGTCAGTAAGAAGCCTATTTTAATCAAACTCGACTACAATGGCGACGAGATTATGAGAATGGTTAATAAAAGATTAAGCGCAGCCCTGTCTAGGACGTATCCTGCAAACGTTATTAGTTTCTCTATCCCGGACAACCTCTTCACTGGTGTATTCAAAGATTGACAAGTACCCCTTACATGTTACCTCCAACTGTGTATACCAATTCACATGTATCTGCGGGAGCAGTTACATTGGAAGAACAGAGAGGAGGGTCTACGTTAGATCCTGTGAACATGTACCAAGAAGCCTCAGGTTAGAAGGACAGAATTGTTTAAGCTCTTCAATCGCCAAACACCTGATTGACACAGGACACCGAGTAGATGTACTGGAATCATTCAAAAAAAATTAACAGACAAATTACCTCAAGTTTTCTCAGGTTTGCTGAAGCTACAGCAAAAAAACGATTGAAGCCTAACTTATGTGTCCAGAAAGAATCCGTTGTTGGACTTCAATTACCCTGGTAACTCACTTCTTAGTAACTCTTTGTTTTCTAATTCCATATTAGTTTGATTATTAAATGTATCACACAGTGAAACAGTATTGTATACTGGATGACGTTTCGAACACAATTTATTGTTCATAATCATATCAATTTGATTGATATGATATGATTGATTATGATATTGATATGATTATGAACAATAAATTGTGTTCGAAACGTCATCCAGTATACAATACTGTTTCACTGTGTGATACATTTAATAATCAAACTAATATGGAATTACTTAATACCACAGTGCCCAAGTTTTACACATATATCTTTGTTTTCTAATTTTGTTAATTTTGCTAACTTATCTTTTCGCTCCATTCTCCCTCTATTTTTCGCTTGACTCGCTTAAGAGATAATTTTTCTTGATCTTCTGAGTTCTGCTCACTGCATTGCATCATCGACTTCTCATCTGACCTCAAGTGCACCGAAATTTTAAAATTTTGATCTCTTATTCAATTACGCAACTATTACTAATTGTCTTTTGTTGCCACCCCAACAACACAACTGTTAATAAATTTTTTTCAAGAAACTTCTCTCTTACAAGATATATATATATATATATTTGTCGTAACACTCTAGACACCCTGTAAATCGCAACGCCTTATTTTACTATGACGCTCTGACAATATGCTTGCTAATGGACAAAGGTTGTACGCAGTTGATGACAACTAACGAAATAAAATGGATCCAAATTATTCTGCGCAAATGTTTCTTCTTTCTTTGTTTAAATTGGTATTGTGTTGATAAATCAATTAGAAGAAAGCTCTTAAGCCAACTAGTGTACACTACCATTTACACTTACCATCTCCTGTACCATAGAATGAATAATTAATTTCATAATTGATGTTAATTTATAACGAAATAAACTTAGTAAACGCACGAATATCAACAGTCCACTCCTCACCGCTGGTATAGCGGTTAGGACGCTCGCCAACCATGCACATGGTCCGGGGTTCGATCCCCGGCCACCGATGCACTCCTTTACTTCACTAAGCCAGAAATAATGCTGGTAAAGAGGAAAGGTTGGGCATGAGGCTAGCGACCCCATCCTGTAAAATAAACACCGCTACAGAAACTTCAAGCCACTAGCTTGAAGCCCTATGTTTCACTGGGGAACGTGAAGGGAAAAAACTCCTCATCGCTGGCTGACAATCAGAAGAGCCTTCAGAAGTAAGGGGAAAGGAGTGTTTTGACAGATACTCACCATTGATGGTCCTGTACTGCAAACTGACAAAAAAACACTAAATTCAACCCGATGGGTGAACAGTAAAATTGATTTCTCTATAACTTGAAGGTCCTCACTCAGTTCGATTTCTCTGTATTCTGTGAGTAGGCATTTCTAGCAGGTGGCCCAACAACTAAGGTGAAATTACTTGATTTGCCTAACTGATGTAGAAATCTAGAATGGAGTCGTTGACATCATACATGCATAGATACATCAAACATGAAACGGGACTGGAGTGAAGTGAATTTTCAACATAGAACTTTACATAACATTGCAGTGGTTTAGATTGTCACACTCCATAGAGAACACGCAAATATAGAGAAAAGGAATACAAATAAACTATAATAAAGAGGTCTACGCCATAGAGAATAATCACATGCAGAACAGTGAAAATTCCATAGATTTAAGAGAAAACAATGAGTGACTAACTGACTGACAGCGTGAGTTTTAGCATAGAACTGCGAATAGAAGTGCACAGAAGTGTAACTTGCCACATTCCATATAGCATACATACGTAGACAGAAGGAAATGCCAAGGAACTGTAATGAGCGTAAATGTATGTGAAGACGAATAAGCACGTGTAGAATGATGAGGATTGAATGCCTCTAAATGATTGTGATATTAAAATACTTACTCTTGGATCTAGTAAATAATTATAAGGCATGAACACCAAATTTGAATCGGTTTTCAGTTCTCTTGATATGAAATATGGACAACATCTAGAGAAAGAGAAAAGTTTAAAATAATAAAAAGAAAACTCTTGAAATGGAAAAAGCTACATTCACATAGTTTATACTTTCCAAAGATACTTTAAACTACAAAAGTCCAGAGATTTCTACAACAGTGATGTTAAATAAATACCAGATACTCAATAATGGAGCCAATAGGACTGTCATTATTACTCCTTTGGGTTCCAAGTGGAACACTGAACTTCAACAAAGCATCTTCACTTTGTTCTGTATTCTGCCGTCCACTTCACCTGGGCTGACGATTGACCATAGTTTTTCATATCCTCCTCGTATCCGACGGTCTCCTCCATATCACCCTTGCCCGACCAACTCGTTGCTTCCCACTGGAATTCCACTCGAGCCGTGGACTGCAATGTCTCCTCAACCTTTGCCCGATCTCCATTTTCTCCTACATATTTCTTCAGTAATCGGTTTGTTCCCAGAATTTCTTGTCGCTAATTCTTTCTGGCCATTTGATTTTCAGTATGGAGCCGGCGAAGGCGGCTGTTGATGAAAGTCTGCAACAGGCTGTTGGAAATCCTTTTCGTGACACACTGGTCCGTATAGAAGGACCGATTTCACATTGGTGTTGGAAATCCGAATCTTGTTCCTTATGCTGAGTGCAGAAGATTTCCAAACTAGTTTCAGGTTGATGAAGGTTTATCTTGAATTTCCTATTCTGGCTGGCTGGCTTTGACATCTTTATCCATTCCGCCCACCTGCAGTTGAAACGATGCTTTCTAGATAAGTGAAGAAAGTAATCTCTGTCAAATCTCTCCCTTTTTTTGATGACTGGTGCTGGTTGTTGTTGCTGTTGGTTGGTTATCTTCAACACCTTCATCTTCTCTATGTTTCCTTGGAGCCCTGTCTTTGTTGTGCGCCTCTTTAACCAGTTTGTTGGTTTTCGCCTGCAAGTCTTCTAGTTTGTGTGAAATTAGACATATATCATCTGCGAAATGCAGATCTTCTAGAGTCTTCTTATCGGTGGTTTAGCGTATTCCTTTCTCCTTGCTCCCATTGCACAATATGACGCATAGTCCAGTCCACAACAATTAATAGGCAGCCAGACTTGCCTTACTCCTGTATTCACTTCAAATGCCTATAACTGTGACATTTACTTGAATGACACCAGCCGGTAAGGGATAAAAATTATACATGGTGGAAATCTGTTGAGCTGTTGTACAATATGTGAGTTATGATATGCACAGTCTAGCGTACAACAGTACACACAGTTCGATGTGAAATTCCACAACTGTTTGCCTTGTAAATCCAAATTATTCATATCACAGTTATGTGATCTGTTTGATACTATAAATGCCCGTCGACAAAGCAAGCGAAATGCATGACACTATATACTACTAACTAATTGATATGAGTAAGTAGTTGGATTGCACTCACATCAACCAGTAGTAAGTGCGAGTCTCAAATGGGTCAAACAGCTGGACGGTGTTTAGATCACCTCGACCTGGTCACCAAGAACTACTGGTTGACGTAGATGACATTCCACTACTTATATCAATCAATCGATAGTATGTAGGGCTTATTTAGTGCATGCAATCAAACTACCATCAAAATAAACTACACAAAAGAAATGAACGGCAATGCAATCTAGTTAAACAGTAAGGGATTCTAGAAGTAATAGAAGTAAACCTGATTGTGTGCTCATTCGTAATCAACAGTAAAGCGTACCTATCATTCATAAAACTAGTCTCTGTCTACAACGAATTCAGAGTACTTAACCCTTAAACTTTGTAAAATTGACTGATTGACCACTAAAATGGTAATCAACTGGTGTTCAGTGGATTCAGTCTCTTACTAAAATAATTAGATAGTTATTTCATGATGGATTTGATCATGAGCTGACATCAGTTAGAGAACCACTGGAAAACCTGGGAGTACTGGACACATGTTTCGTCCTAGTTTGGGACTCCTCATCAGTACGCATCCACCGGGGTTCGGACCCAGGACCTTCTGGTTACAAGGCGAGCTCGTAGACCATTGAGCCACTGAGACCCGATTCAATGGTTCTTGAACTCTAACTTCTGCCAATTCATAGACAGTTATTCACAATGTGCTGAAAAATTCGATACAGTTGACTTGTTTGATAGTTTGTTCAAGATAGTAAAAGTTTAAGGAATACAGTAAGGCTAATTTCACGAGTAAAATTTCAAACGAACAAAAAAGTTACAGCCAAAGTCACCTTGTTTTCTGACCGAAACTGGCCAAATCTTCAATATCAACAATACCTTCCGATTTTAAATTAGCTAAGATGTCATCTCGTTTAGCTAGAGGACAAAGAGAAAATAAAGCAGAATTGCACCAAAAACATTTTCAAATGAATAAAATAATATTAGGAAAATAGAACAGAAAATAGTTATATTATATTTGTACAAAAAAGGTAGTAACGAAGAAAAGAGTGCGTCGATGGTTCAACGGTAAAGTACTGGCCAACCCATGCACGTAATCCAGGGTTTGATTCCCTTCCGGCGCACATCTTTACCTCCCTTAGCGAGTTGTAATCTTGACAAAGAGGGAAGGTTGGGTACGAGGTGAGCAACCCCACCCCGTAAAAAAAACACTGTTAATGAAACTTTAAAGTTCCAATCTCCAAGCCCTATGTTCCACTGGGAACGCAAAGGAAAAAACAAAAATAACAAAAAACACTTTATTTACTACAATATCTCTTTCAGATGTTGTGCAATTGCTTTTATATTCACTAAAGTAATACACGTAACTTCCCATAGGTGTATAGTTATTCTATAAAAGATAGAAAGTCATGGAAATGCCTATAAAGGTTAATTATTAATATCAGTTTGAATCATGAATACGAATTACACATCAGGAAGAAAAAATGAACAAATAGTAAAACTTAACTGAATAGTCTTACGTAATAAAAAATAGACATTAAGAGGTAAATAGGGTTCAGAAATAATTACCATTTATAACTGATTCAGGTGATTAAAAGATTTCAAAGAAGGTTCAAGAACAAGCAACATAAGTTTCTCCGCAGTTTTCGAAAATCGAGATATGATGGCGATTGGCCTAAACTTTAAACCTGGACCAGAAGATGACTTTGGTAAAGATACTACCTTTATTTCTTTCCAAGCAATAGATACTGTTTCCTTTGCGTACATCAAGGACCTTCGATGAGCATGAAACATTTAATCAATACAATAATCTGTTCTAAGAAGAGTAGTCTAAAGTAATCTAATCTAGAACGACGGAGATAATGAAATCGAAAAAGTTAGGCAAAGTATGCGCGAAAGCAAATTCAAAAGTAAAGAATATCGAACAACATAAAAGAACGAAAAACACTGCGCACAAAGCATGTCATAAGTGTACAGAAATCTTAACTGGATGAAGAGGATAAAAGACAATTCAGCAAAGAAAATTTTCTTTATCGACGAAATCATCTTCACAGGTTGTACACTCGTATTTATATTTACCGAAAATTGCATGGAGGATTTGATCATGAGCTGACATGAGTTAGAGAACCACTGGAAAACCTGGGAGTACTGGACAGCTGTTTCGTCCTAGTTGCTCACTAGTGACTGGCCCTATTCAGGCAGTTAACCTGGGGTTCTAGTGGGAAGCCGTGACCAGTAGGGTACAGCGGGTTGAAGATGAGGCAGTAACTCATCGGAGAAGACATTGCGAAGTGGTCGCGCTATGTCGTGAACTGGCAGAAGTTAGAATTCAAGGACCATTGGATCGGGTCCCAGTGGCTCAATGGTCTACGAGCTCGCCTTGTAACCAGAAGGTCCTGGGTTCGAATCCCGGTGGGTGCGTACTGCTGAGGAGTCCCAAACTAGGACGAAACAGCTGTCCAGTACTCCCAGGTTTTCCAGTGGTTCTCTAACTCATGTCAGCTCATGATCAAATCCTCCATGCAATTTACCGAAAACGTATAGTAAACCATTATTAAGTAATGGAGGGTGACATAATTGATATAATTACTCGGAAGTCGCTTCAAAAGTGAAAATAATAAAAGTTATAAATTACCTAATGCCGAACGGTGCAAAGGAAGAAAGGGGTAGAAATTTGAAAAGGTTAAAATTATTATTGAGGGAGAAGAAAGGTCATCCATTTAACAAGTGTGAAGGACGAAGAGAAAATGTAAAAAAAGAACATGTGAATTGCTTATCAAAGTAAAAACAAACTAATCATGGAAAAATAATAAAATTTGCAAGGAACAACTAATGACAAGGTTGAGACCATAGTAGAATAAGAGACTGGACAAGCGTCTTCTGTATACAGAGTCCAAGGTTGTATTGGCGAATTGCTAACGCCTCCACCATACGCAAAAGCCGAAACCTGATGCCCTTTCTACCATTTAGCCCCACCTTGTAGATAATCTTGAAAGACGACTCTGGTGGAGCTGCGTGGCCTCAGTTCACCAAGTGTTCGACAATTGAGCTAGTAACTGTCTTGCACTGTCCTTTTGCTAACCATGTCGGATAATCTTCAGAGATGCGTTTGGAAAGTGTGCGCTTTATGCGGCCAATACAACTAGACGAACCACTTTTTGCGTAAATTACATTCTTCATTTTTAAACCCTATCCATTTTCCATCCATCTAAGCTATTTATTCAGTTAGAAAAGATACTTTTTATTATTTCACCTAAACTATGACATGGCTTTCAATGAAATTTTGTTGAAATAAAACACAACAGCGGAACATAATGTTATTTAGTTGACAATGGCTGTAGTAGAATCTAGGATTTGCATTTTATCTTATTCTGGATTCGTCTTCTGGACGCACCAGAATCTTCAGTAAGCATCGGTATTCCCATTGAGACTGGAACACAGCATATATCGTTTAGAAAATAAAAGTGTTATCTAGTAGGCCATGACAGCCACTGGTCCAACAGATAACAGTTATTGTTTGTTTAGGTTACTTTCTGGCCCATCCAACAGGTTGCAGACTTTTATTAAACGGCTACCTCCGCTGGCTCCATACTGAAGATCAAAAGGCCAGAAAGAATTAGCGACAATGAACTCTGCCAATAAATTGACCAAGAGCCGATCGTTCAAGACATATGTAGGATAAAATGGAAATGGATCGGGCATACGTTGAGAAGGCCGTCGAATGACATTGCGTGCAATACAAGCCATCACTCAAGTGCAATCTCAATGGAAAACAACGAGTGGGTCGTCGGTGCGAGGGTGACGTGGAGGAGATTGTGCGAGGATCTCAAAAACTGTGGTCAGTCGTGGACCCAGGTGAAGAGGGCAGAAGAAAACAGAACAAAGTGGAGATGTCTTGTTGAAGTCCTATGTTCCACTCGGAAACCAAGAGGACAATAATGATAATAATATTAGTGATGATTCTGTACTTTCTGTTGATTGATTCATATAAAACCAAAATGCTCAGTCTCTGAAATTTTAATCAACAGCTTTTTCAAGTATATCGACAGCAGTTGAGATTAGGAGAAATCTAATAGAGATATCAAACTATGTAGTTCCATCAAAATATCTGTGATAGTTGCTCATGGTCATTTTAATAACTTAATGGATTTCACTTGGTCATCTCATCCTTTTCAGATGAGATTTCTTCTTACAGAAACAGAATCTAACTTGTAATCAGGACGGGTAATAAACTACAGATTATATATATATATATATATATATATATATAAGGCTGATAAATGATTTCACAGATCTGTTGATGTGAACAAGATGAATATTTTAACTAATGAGTGTAAATTACATGCTTTAAACATAAATGAGTTTAAATATAGAATTTTTGTCATATACAAGTCAAGAAGGCAAAATCTATAGTTTAAACATTACATTTTTAATTGCATGGAGGATTTCACCATGAGTTGAGAACAGTTAGAGAACCACTTGAAAACCTGGGAGTACTGGGTAGCTATTTCGTCCTAGTTTGGGACTCTTCATCAGTACGCACCCACCGGGGTTCGGATCAGGATCTTCCCGGTGGATTCGTACTGACGAAGAGCTCCGAAATTGGACGAAACAGCTGTCCAGTACTCCCAGGTTTTCTAGTGGTTCTCTAACTGATCTCAGCTCATGGTGAAATCCTCCATGCAATCAAATAAGATCCCTACAAAACCAACACTTGAAAATTACATTTTTAGTCGTGATTTGAAATGTGAATGATATGCCTCACGTAATACTTGTTTACAATTGTTCTTTTTAAATAAATGTTATTCACGACTGCTGAGTTATCAATATTATTATTATTACTTTTGTCTCCTTTAGTTCCCAGAGAGACATAGGGCTTCAGCCGCACATCTCCATTGCGTTCGGTTCTCCACCAACGTTTTCACTTGGCTCCACGTCTGCCCATATGTTTTCATCTCATCTTCGCATGACCTCCCCCATGTCATCCTTGAACTGATGATTAACTCGCCGCTTCTCATTCGGGTTCCACTCGAGCAACGGCCTGGTGTGTGATGTCATTTGATGGTTTTCTCAGAGTATGACTAATCCGTTTCCATTTCTTCCTGTATATTTGTTGCACAATTGGTTCCTGATAGGTTCGCTCCCAGAGATCCCTGCTGAGTTAAACTACAGACAAACAGCTGCAGAGGGGGTAGGAGTCACGTAAGGAAGATATGAACGCTTGTGAACAGACGATAAGTCAGTTGAAAGCGATGGTTCAGGAGTGAGTGAAGCGTAGATGCGCCACTGAAGCTCTACATCCCGCTCCTAACACAAGGAGTGTATATTTATACAATAAAATGTTAGTAATGAAAATCAATTATACGCATTATATATACATATATATGCACTCACAGTCAAAATTCCGGTAATATTCACACGTTCTTGTTTGAACTCTCATACGACAAGCATAAATTTTAGCTGAATTCGATTCCAGTTGCGATACATCAGGAAGGAGACACAACTGATCTCTTGAACCAACTACACTGACGTTACGCCTTTGAGATAGCAAAGCAGGAATAATAAAAATAGTGGTGATAATAAATAATTTTTCACTTTTATCCATGAGTAAATGAATCACTTGTGAAATATTACAGGCAATAGCACTAATAAGCTATTCATACAGAATTAGGCGATATGAGATTGAAAATTGGAAATCATTGATTGGGAGACAGAGGCTTAAATCAACGAGTCACGAAAAGAAGCATTCACATAATAACAAGAAGTTTGAGATTTTGAGGAATATCGAATGAGTAATTGTGAATCATACAAATTAATTTTGAATGTCAATATGTGAAATCCACTTACTTGACTCCTGGAGTTTTGTGAACCAATGGGAGAAAAGTATAATTTACCTTTTCCGGCAATTCAAACCAATAAACAATGACTTTGTGACTAGGGTAGAATACACCAATCTGACTACTATTCAGCTTAATACTATTCTACGCAAATTCAGATGTTAGTAATAAGTAAATGTATTGTTAGCAAACACGTTTATACCAAACAGTTAGTGCCTGAAATACACAGATCAACGTGAAAACCTTAAACAAACATGTATTATTTTAACCAGCCATAGTTTAAAGTAGCACAGAAAAAAGTGCTTCACAAAACATTTAAAAGAAAAGTGATCGAGGAATTTAATGAAGAGCACTGAAAGTGTTAAGAAGCTCCAACGCAATAAAGACGAAATATATTTATGCATTCTTGAAAGACTTTAAGATTATATCAATAAGTCTTCAATAGATGGCTTGTTTTTCCATGTTACTATTCCCTCACCCTTCCCACCAGCATGTTTCTTCTCATCGTAATTCGTTTGAGTCGCTTTTCTCTCCAGCTATGTCTGCTACACAGATTGTGATAACTTGAACTACTGCACATCTGTGAGAAAATCTATTGTAAAATTCAGTCAGTCAGATAGATAGCTTTCATCATTCTCGAAAATCCACCAAGCGTCCTACAGTATCTAAGATGGGTTAGACCAACAGACAGAGACTTTAAGCATTGATATTCCTGTTTCGGTCAGAGTATTTTTAGCCAAATTAGTCTTACACAACGGCTAATATAGCTCGCAGAGGAGAATAGTGGATTTAATTAGACGGTAAACTCAAACATTTCACTCGAAGGTTTACAGAAGCACCATTCGTTTTACCCCTCCTGACTAGCACTCTATGTTCAGCTTTAAAAAATGCTATCAATATACATATATATAAACTCACACTTGAAAATATTTTAAATTGCAGGTGAAAAAAGTGAAAAAACTACAGTGATAAACCAAGAATAGCAAATGAACTTATATCAAATTACTTAGAATACACTGTTGTCTTCAATGCATTAATAGCTTGTGCTAATTGTGAATGGGTTCTTGACGCAAAGATAATCTTATACACACTGTTCATTTTCTCCAGATTTTCCAGAAGATTCTGATGTATGGAATTACTCTTATCATCACCGTTGTCACTGTTACCCGTTAGCCAATTTCCCATTGTATTCACACGTTTGCCATCCGGTGCAAGTTCTGTTGGAGTAACTAGTTGTTTATCAAGCCATGCAAGTGATGCGCATAGAAGACACAAAGTTTTACCAGTTCCAGTTGGGGACTCTAAAATGGCATGTTTACCCTATACCATAAATGAATAATTAGCAAATAGAAGCATTACCTCCTTTAATGATAGTAGGACTTTTGTCATATATTCTAACTGGCAGTCATAGGGTTTATATGGAAAGTCGATTTCAACACCATTGACCAAAATTTGTGGCATGATCAAAGATTCCCTGCGAATTCCTTTAAGACGAATTAGTATGGCCCGTTGTTAAGCGGAACAGTTAGTTGGATAAGAAATGATGAAATGCATTAGCTGACAGATAACCTATAAGATTGATCATAAAACAATAATGATAAAACTCGGTAGTCAGAATAATAGCACATTTAAAAATGAATTTGAAAATTCACTACGTCTTAATTAGGTCTAACGACCTTATACACACTCGTATACTCAACGACTGACCATCTCTATTACATGGGCACTAGCGTTAACATTTAAAATTTAATGCATTTGAAGTAGGTATCGCATAGCTAACATACTGGTTGCTGATTGAGTTCTTCCTCTATTGCATCACAGTCACATCATCCAGGACTGTTACCACCTGAAAAGATGGAAAGCAGTTAACAGCTCTTTTATTTGCAATGGAACTTTTTAGGCTTCCATAACTTTTTACCTACAATGAAAATAAATCAGAACTCTCATGTTCTTTCTGAAATATGGTAACTCCCAAACAGTGCATACCTTGGATAGAAACAAAACGAATTCGTGTCAGTAATGATTCCTGCATAGTAGTCGGTACTCAAGATAAATTTTCAGATTGAGGAACTTCACGAAACAACCGATAAGAATAGGACTGTTAATTAATACATCTTATTCCATAAATTTATTACTTCATTAATGAACCAGTACACTTTAATAGTTTTCTGATAATTAACCACATTTTTGTTTGGAAATGCAATTATTGGAAACAAAACTAGACAGCACGAATTTGTAAGATGATCCAGAACATTGTTATGAAGCGAATTCATATAATATTCAAAAGAAGAGCTTCGACATGTTCACCTCTTCACACCATTTTCAAGCTGTACATTATAAAAGAAAAGTTGAACTGTTCTGAAAACAACAGACGAAATAAGGCCAAATGACAAATGCGCTTAAGCTAAAAGGGAGGACCACACAAACCCATGAAGAAAAAACTATAAAAACACGTGAGAACCCTTCACAATAAGTGAATTAATTACCGATTCATCTTTTGATAAGTGAATAAAGACCAATATTGCAAAATGTTTCCATCTTAAAAACAAGATATCTTGATTTCATATATGAATACAGACTGACATTAGTCAGAGAAGTACTGGACAGCTAATCTGTCCTAATTTTGGGCTCTGCAGAATTACGCAACGGCAAATTCCATGAAGGTTTGAATTTAGGATCGTTAGTTTAGAAAGTGTTCTAGTTGACCACAGCCACTGGGACAGAATCCCATGGCCAGTGAATCTTAACTTCTACCAACGCTCACTGTGCAGCGCCACCGCCAACCTATGCTATCATAAAGTATCACCCCACGCACCTGACTTGGTGGACCCAGCTGCTCACGACTTACTAAATTGCTACCCCATAGTTAGTCACTAGTAGCTAGTACTAGATTGATTCTCAAATGTCATTTTGTAGGTATTTGATTGATTTCAAGTTTGATCACAAAATAATATCGTGATGGCAAATAATTATGCACACTCATTGGTCGGAAGCTTAATTGTAGGAATTAAATCGCTTTGCAGAATTAATAATAAACACACTTCGACGACTATTGAGCTTCAAATTTAGCATTATCGCATTTTACAGGAATTAAGAAACCATCGTCTGCATTACGCAGTTTGAAGGAATGGTGAATATTTTGTTGGCCACGAATGAATAGGACGACATCAACTGAAGGGACGAAGTCTAGCGGTTAGGATTCCTGGCTTTCACGCAGGCGGCCCAGGTTCGACTCCCGGCGCGGGAGCGCTTTGTGCGTCGGTGGCACAGTGGTTAGGACTCTCGCCAACCATGCACATGGTCCGAGGTTCGATCCCCTACCGACGCACACCTGATATCTATGGTCGACATGCAAAATTCGAGCTACCGATATCCACGCTGAAAATTCCATACTTGTACCAAAAATAAGGTGTGGAATCAAGCTGTAATCAAAAAAAATAAAAATGAAATGCCGACAGTCACTAGTGAGACTTGGTTTTTGTCTTTTGGAGGAATTCTCACTGTTAACGTAGACCATCACTTCCCTGCTCTGAGACATAAATGTGCAGTAGATATTTTGATCTTACGTATTGTCTAAGTCAATGGAAGCGGTGTTAAAATTACGGTCACTCTGATAAATTTCATATGTTTAGATACCTATAGGAGTGAATGGAATAGCATTATGGAGATGTAAAATAAAATAGTGCTTGAGGAAGAAGACCATAATGCAGACGGTATTAAAATGGCAGTTAGAAACAAATACACCAGGTGAACAATTTTTGATGACCTAGTTTCACCTACAATAGTCAATCACACATGCCAGCACTACAATTTTTTACAAGTGCACTAAAACTATTCCATGATGAGAAAATCTCGAGGGCAATTACGTCCAAGGAAACTTTAGACGTAATCCTAATACTACTTGTCTGCCGAGAAACCCTAGTGAGGTTTCAATGCATTTTCTCTCAAGCTAAAAGCAATATGATGAAACCAAAAGTATAGGAATGACTGCAAGAATATTCACCGATCCGAATATTAATAATGTCAATGGTCCTTGAATAGTTGAAAAGTGCCTCAAAAATTTCAAAATACAAAGCATCTAACTATCTCTTTTTATTAGCCGAATGTCTTGAATGAAAAGTAGCAAGAAAACTCGAGAGAAATGCATAATTTTCCCGTAGGAAAAGCCCCGAGATTCCCCCAACCCATCCCAAAAATATTTATTTCGGGTAGAAGGAGGAGTTTGTCAGCCAACTTAATAAATAATTTGAAAGCACTGAAGACATTTTGGATCAAAAAGCAAAAATCAACTTGAGGCGCATCTGGCGGCATCGTAAATTTCTTTCTGAAGTTGCAAAGAGGGCTCATAAGCCCCACATACAATGCACCGAACCAAACCCTATTAACTTGCATGAATTCTGATCATCATTGCATGCATTCACTTACCACTCACCTCAGTTTGCAGGTGAAGAGGCCCAGAATTTCCCGAATCATTGGAATAGGCGTCAAGGTTTGAGCGATGTATTGTGTCTTTAGTGAGCCTAAAACTATTGCCAACTGGAGTAGTTTCTAGATATTTTCTGCTTTCCTAAAGCAAAACCTTAGAGACGATTTTTCCGAAAATACATCGCATCTTGCACAAAGCCCTACAATCCCCAGCTAGCATTTTTTCGGGCGCATTGCAAATTTTTGGGGCAGACTTAGGGCACATTGCAGACTTTTTGGGCAGACTTCGGGAGCATTGCAGACTTTTTAGGGCACACTTAGGGACACCGTCCCACGTATGTTTATGTGCCCTAAGTTTTTTGTCCCAAAGTCTGCAGTGCGCCCGAAAAATAATGCTAGCTGGGTCGTCCTACAAGACAGCTATCACATGTGACACTCTTATGTATTTACTGTGAACATTATTGTGTTCTGTTTGGAAAGTTCCACTTTAAACCGAAGAACTGTAAGAGTTAACTCTTACCGCCTCCACTAATATTATGAACTAAGAACCAACAGTTTAAAACACGGCGACTACCAGTAACTTGAGGTTTAGTAACGAACAGTTTGTAAATTCACATTCAATGTCCAATCATTTTGCCAACATAGTACAAATCTTATGATTTCTGACCACCGTCAACTATTAGTCCGAAACAGTCCTAGACCTTCGGGGGATTCCCGTATAAGATATCTTCTGAATTGCTGAGGCACCTTTGAGGGAAGTAAGATGAGGTACTTTAGTTTATTCGGATTGGCAAAAGCGCACTGGTCCCGCTGGGACTTGCAGATTTATTTCTGCCTGAGATCCTCCGGTTGGGTAAAAAGACACCTTGAGGAAAATGGTACTAAGCGAAGGGTGGTCGAATCAAAAGAATGGATCGACACAACAAATTGAATATTGAGCTGTAGGATGAATATAAGTCAGGTTATGTGGTAGAAATAAACGTCCACGTAATAAAGATTAAAGAAATACTCTCTGCTGCTGGTCGCTTCATCTTCTCACTAGACTATATAGTCTACTTGTTTTACTACTGTATTGTATACTTTGGATTTTGCAAGGACCTCTTATCCTCATTCGAAGACTGTTCCACAACCGGTGCACAGCCTCTACCAGCAGGCACAACTCCAGCAGTGAACACTAGTGGATTATACCAACAATTTTTAGCAGTGGACTTCAACTGTATAACCAGGTAACCAGCTCATTTATATAACTCAATACTGTATTTTCGTGATCTAATGTTACATTGTCTTCACATTAACTTGGGCTCGCTAGACAGTCCCTGACTGAAAATTTTATCTTAATAAACTGTATGCACATGCTGTTATCATTCTAATCTTTGGCTGCACATTCTGTATATTCGTAAATATTTGTAATAATCATATCTTCACCCACCCGATCACTTGCTGCACCTGAGACTGACAAGGCACGAAATTCAACGATCAACTCAGTAGTCAACCTGTGTCCGCCTCCGTGGTTTCACTGGGCCTAGGACTTGGTTCACCATCACTGAGTCCCTTTTCGCTGCTTTTGGTATTAAGTCGCAGATTGTAATGTATAAATTTGTCTTAGCGGCGCTGCTCACAGAGGTTTCCGAAGATATTAGTGACTTAATCGATAGTACTCCTGCAGACCATCAACATGATCGACTTAAGGTAGTTATAAGCCAAAGAAGGAATGTTTCTGAAGAGAAACGGATCCAGCAACCACTCACTGCGTGTGAGTTAGGCTCACGGACGCCATCTCAGTTCCTCAGTCACCAGCATCGACGACGTATTAGCACTTCATGGGTTAGCAGTTCAGGGTGCGTCTGCTGCAAGCACACCTGTATTATCAGCGATTTTGGCATTGGCAAATAAGATAGAGAGGCCAGAAAATGAGAATTCTAGTTTGCGTGCACGGGGTGGTAGATCACGGTCCAGGTCAGGGTAACGTCGACTACCTTTCTCAAGACTGCGGACCGTGACATCCCCTAGCAGTTGAAATATTTGCTGGTAGAATTGAAAGTTTGGAAATCGAACGATTCGATGCATAAAACCGTGCACTATCAGCCGTAGTCACTCGTCTCGGGGAATTTCCCCAGCCACACATTGGTAGTGACGGCTCTTACTGACAGTCATCCAAGCCGTGTTTTCTGCTCGAGGGATAAGACCAAAGGCACATTATTCCTGGCAGCCGAAGTCACTGTAATACCCCTTTCACTTTCCAGGTGGTCTTCTAGCGCAGCTGGCAAACTTCCACTCCGAGCAGCTTGCCAAACTTGTATACAGAGTTACGGTCAACAATCACTTATTTAGGTTCTTGGTTTACGCCATTGTTTTACATGGATTTTCAAGGTAGATCGGGGTGTTCCTACAGACATCTACTGGACGATTAGGATATCCTACTTTGTGAATTTTGAGTGTCATATATTCTATTAAATTTACTGTTTCTAGGCTCGATTGACTACACTGACCCACCCAAAGATTATTTCATATGTCGTATTAGATCAGCTGTAGATTCTTCGATCTTTTGCATAATAACATCCATGAATCAAATAATTTCCCCCTATGGACCTGTTTCAGTACATTGGTTCATAAGATGACTATTTTGCGTGCAGATTACGCCTCGCATACATTTCATCTATACTTGAAACACAAGCTCACAACAATGCTGCGTGTTATGATCATAGTGCTTATGCTAGTGTTGTTAAGATAATGTTTGGGGTTAGGTGACGTAATATATTTTGATAGGATCAGCTTAAAATTAATAGCGATAGTTCTGGTAGTTTGAATGTGCAGTTAACACAAAAGCCAGCTAACTGAAACTCGTTGTTAAACAATTTCAGAGCACTTGAAGGAAAGTACCAGGGATTTGAGTTGTTTTAAATTTAGATGCCTCAAAATTGCTTGTGAATCGCTCTGCTGACTTCTTGGGGAAGAAAGCGTTGATTTTCCTCAAAACTTTTACACTACAGTGAAGCATGCATGTCTCAAAATTTCTCTATTCGGGACCTCATTTGCATCGCGAAACGAAGTGGTTTAACGGGTTATCCATGCTTATCCATGTCTCGTGCTTTTAAAAAGTTATGTATACATATGTATCTATTTAAGTTTATACGGGTTGTTATTTACTGAGGTTAAACGTTTACGATCCCTTCAGTATGAAATGTTGCGCAGTAGATATTATCCAGGCGTACGGCAATGGTAAATTATTTGTAAACTATAAACTATATATAAGTAATGCAATCGAATGTGGACGTTGTTTGCATCAAGAAAAAACTAACATGTGCTGAATTAATGCGGGAATTACTGAAAAATAACACTGGATGCCAAACTGATGCAACCAGTTCTGAAAAATGCTACTCATTTCGCACTTACGTTGTTTTTGCAGTTTCCAGTTATTTGCCATGGTATTATGATGTGGACCGCCTGTCACTAATCTAGCTATCTACGTTTTAATCAGCGGTTCACGATCAAAGGTTAGTCATCCTCACACAGCTTGTCAATGTAGTTGAAGATTGAACGATCAATTCATGGTTGTTTGCTCAAACCCAACATCCCCAATTTTCGCGGAGGCATCAATACGACAGTCATCGTCTCGTCGGTCGCTGTTCAGAAGGAAGTCAGGAGACAACTGTCAGAAACCTTAGTTGTAAAATTGTTTATATGTTGGTGTTACAATAAAGAATCCTCGAGTCGCCAATCGGTGTTTTGGTTTTCGCGTCCGTTATTACTAAGCGTTTCTGAGAAACTTCAAGGAACAGCGTGAGCCCGAGTGTAGCAAGAGCTGAGCATTAATGGTTTACGAGACGTGACTGACAGTTTCTGACAGTGAA